AGAATTTCATGAAATTATCTTAAATTACATAATTGACACCTTCCACACCTTCCACAGATAAAAAGATTTAAAATAAGTATTTGTGAAAATTTCTGAGATTTTGCCAAAAATGATGGGCTAACCCCTTGCCATTTTCCTAAAAAAAGGGGCATTTTTCAGAAATTCATGAAATTATCTGAAATCATCTGAAATTACATAGCTTGAATGAACAGGGGTCACAGACATCTTCCAAAGATGAAAAGATTTGAAATAAGTATTTGTGAAAATTTCTGAGATTTTGCCAAAAATGATGGGCTAACCCCTTGCCATTTCCCTCAAAAAGGGGCATTTTTCAGAATTTCATGAAATTATCTTAAATTACATAATTGACACCTTCCACAGATAAAAAGATTTAAAATAAGCATTTGTGAAAATTTCTGAGATTTTGCCAAAAATGATGGGCTAACCCCTTGCCATTTTCCTAAAAAAAGGGGCATTTTTCAGAAATTCATGAAATTATCTGAAATTATCTGAAATTACATAGTTTGAATAAACAGGGGTCATAAACACCTTTCACAGATGAAAAGATTTGAAACAAGTATTTGTGAAAATTTCTGAAATTTTGCCAAAAATGATGGGCTCACCCCTTGCCATTTTTCTTAAAAAGGGGCATTTTTCAGAATTTCATGAAATTATCTTAAATTACATAATTGACACCTTCCACAGATAAAAAGATTTAAAATAAGCATTTGTGAAAATTTCTGAGATTTTGCCAAAAATGATGGGCTTACCCCTTGCCATTTTCCTAAAAAAAGGGGCATTTTTCAGAAATTCATGAAATTATCTGAAATCATCTGAAATTACATAGCTTGAATGAACAGGGGTCACAGACATCTTCCAAAGATGAAAAGATTTGAAATAAGTATTTGTGAAAATTTCTGAGATTTTGCCAAAAATGATGGGCTAACCCCTTGCCATTTCCCTCAAAAAAGGGGCATTTTTAAGAATTTCATGAAATTATCTGAAATCATCTGAAATTACATAGCTTGAATGAACAGGGGTCACAGACATCTTCCAAAGATGAAAAGATTTGAAATAAGTATTTGTGAAAATTTCTGAGATTTTGCCAAGAATGATGCCTTGCCATTTCCCTCAAAAAAGGGGCATTTTTCAGAAATTCATGAAATTATCTGAAATCATCTGAAATTACATAGCTTGAATGAACAGGGGTCACAGACATCTTCCAAAGATGAAAAGATTTGAAATAAGTATTTGTGAAAATTTCTGAGATTTTGCCAAAATGATGGGCTAACTAACCCCTTGCCATTTTTCTCAAAAAAGGGCATTTTTCAGAATTTCATGAAATTATCTTAAATTACATAATTGACACCTTCCACACCTTCCACAGATGAAAAGATTTGAAATAAGCCTTTGTGAAAATTTCTGAGATTTTGCCAAAATGATGCCTTGCCATTTTTCTCAAAAAGGGGCATTTTTCAGAATTTCATGAAATTATCTTAAATTACATAATTGACACCTTCCACACCTTCCACAGATGAAAAGATTTGAAATAAGCCTTTGTGAAAATTTCTGAGATTTTGCCAAAATGATGGGCTAACTAACCCCTTGCCATTTTTCTCAAAAAAGGGCATTTTTCAGAATTTCATGAAATTATCTTAAATTACATAATTGACACCTTCCACACCTTCCACAGGTAAAAAGATTTAAAATAAGCATTGGTGAAAATTTCTGAGATTTTGCCAAAAATGATGGGCTAACCCCTTGCCATTTTTCTCAAAAAAGGGCATTTTTCAGAATTTCATGAAATTATCTGAAATTATCTGAAATTACATAGTTTGAATAAACAGGGGTCAAAAACACCTTTCACAGATGAAAAGATTTGAAACAAGTATATGTGAAAATTTCTGAAATTTTGCCAAAAATGATGGGATAACCCCTTGACATTTTTCTCAAAAAGGGGCATTTTTCAGAAATTCATGAAATTATCTTAAATTACATAATTGACACCTTCCACACCTTCCACAGATGAAAAGATTTGAAATAAGCCTTTGTGAAAATTTCTGAGATTTTGCCAAAATGATGGGCTAACCCCTTGCCATTTTCTCAAAAAAGGGCATTTTTCAGAATTTCATGAAATTATCTTAAATTACATAATTGACACCTTCCACACCTGTCCACAGATAAAAAGATTTAAAATAAGCATTTGTGAAAATTTCTGAGATTTTGCCAAAAATGATGGGCTAACCCCTTGCCATTTTTCTCAAAAAGGGGCATTTTTCAGAATTTCATGAAATTATCTTAAATTACAGAATTGACACCTTTCGCACCTTCCACAGATGAAAAGATTTGAAATAAGCCTTTGTCAAAATTTCTGAGATTTTGCCAAAAATGATGGGCTAACACCTTGCCATTTTTCTCAAAAAGGGGCATTTTTCAGAATTTCATGTAATTATCTTAAATTACATAATTGACACCTTTCGCACCTTCCACAGATGAAAAGATTTGAAATAAGCATTTGTGAAAATTTCTGAGATTTTGCCAAAAATGATGGGCTAACCCCTTGCCATTTTTCTCAAAAAAGGGCATTTTTCTCAAATTCATGAAATTATCTTAAATCACATAATTGAAATAAACAGGGGTCATAAACACCTTTCAGAGATGAACAGATTTGAAATAAGCCTTTGTGAAAATTTCTGAGATTTTGCCAAAAATGATGGGCTAACCCCTTGCCATTTTTCTCAAAAAGGGGCATTTTTCAGAATTTCATGAAATTATCTTAAATTACATAATTGAAATAAACAGGGGTCATAAATACCTTTCACAGATGAAAAGATTTGAAATAAGCCTTTGTGAAAATTTCTGAGATTTTGCCAAAAATGATGGGCTAACACCTTGCCATTTTTCTCAAAAAGGGGCATTTTTCAGAATTTCATGTAATTATCTTAAATTACATAATTGACACCTTTCGCACCTTCCACAGATGAAAAGATTTGAAATAAGCATTTGTGAAAATTTCTGAGATTTTGCCAAAAATGATGGGCTAACCCCTTGCCATTTTTCTCAAAAAAGGGCATTTTTCAGAATTTCATGATATTATCTTAAATTACATAATTGACACCTTCCACAGCTTCCACAGATAAAAAGATTTAAAATAAGCATTTGTGAAAATTTCTGAGATTTTGCCAAAAATGATGGGCTAACCCCTTGCCATTTTTCTCAAAAAAGGGCATTTTTCAGAATTTCATGAAATTATCTGAAATTACTTAGTTTGAATAAACAGGGGTCATAAACACCTTTCACAGATGAAAAGATTTGAAATAAGCCTTTGTGAAAATTTCTGAGATTTTGCCAAAATGATGGGCTAACCCCTTGCCATTTTTCTCAAAAAAGGGCATTTTTCAGAATTTCATGAAATTATCTTAAATCACATAATTGAAATAAACAGGGGTCATAAACACCTTTCAGAGATGAAAAGATTTGAAATGAGCCTTTGTGAAAATTTCTGAGATTTTGCCAAAAATGATGGGCTAACCCCTTGCCATTTTTCTCAAAAAGGGGCATTTTTCAGAATTTCATGAAATTATCTGAAATTAGATAGTTTGAATAAACAGGGGTCATAAACACCTTTCACAGATGAAAAGATTTGAAATAAGCCTTTGTGAAAATTTCTGAGATTTTGCCAAAAATGATGGGCTAACAACTTGCCATTTTTCTCAAAAAGGGGCATTTTTTCAGAATTTCATGAAATTATCTTAAATTACATAATTGACACCTTTCGCACCTGCCACAGATGAAAAGATTTGAAATAAGCATTTGTGAAAATTTCTGAGATTTTGCCAAAAATGATGGGCTAACCCCTTGCCATTTTCCTCAAAAAGATGCATTTTTCTCAAAAAGGGGCATTTTTCAGAAATTCATGAAATAATCTGAAATCATCTGAAATTACATACCTTGAACGAATAGGGGTCATAGACACCTTCCAAAGATGAAAAGATTTGAAATAAGCATTTGTGAAAATTTCTGAGATTTTGCCAAAAATGATGGGCTAACAACTTGCCATTTTTCTCAAAAAGGGAAACATTTTTCCAAATTTCATGAAATTTTCTGAAATTAGATAGTTTGAATAAACAGGGGTCATAGACACCTTTCACAGATGAAAAGATTTGAAATAAGCATTTGTGAAAATTTCTGAGATTTTGCCAAAAATGATGGGCTAACCCCTTGCCATTTTTCTCAAAAAGGGGCATTTTTTTCAAATTTCATGAAATTATCTAATATCATCTGAAATTACATAGTTTGAATTAACAGGGGTCATCAATACCTTCCAAGGATGAAAATATTTGAAATAAGCCTTTGTGAAAATTTCTGAGTTTTCGGCCAAAATGATGGGCTAATAACCCCTTGCCGCTTTTGTCATGTTGTTCATCTTTGAAATGTGACTTTCCATAGTGAATCTTGGGAAGAATAGTGAAAGTGGTTTCCCGTAGCCTTCTACTTATAGTCTCCATGTGAACACCAGTTCTGAGATATGCTGTTGTTCATCTGCCTGGACTCTCACTGCATTGCTGCTGCTCAATTATTTTAATGTTTTTTTGTTGTTTGTTTTAATAATTATTATATATATACATTTAATGTAAACAGGAGAACGGAGCTAAATTCAGACATAGGTTATCAATGTTGTTGACATCTTTCTTTGCCTATTTGTATGTTAAAATACTGTTTAAATATGCAAGTCACTAAAAAAACCTAAAAATTAGAAGCTGTGTCATACAGTTACTTTGCGGCTGTAATGGGAGCACTGAGAACATATTACTTAACACGTCTGTGGTAGTTATAGATAAGTAAGATCTGTAAATAATTGCTTTTAAGGAAAAGCTGCTTCTCCTTGTTAGTTCAAGATATTTCATTATTTTTCCGGACCTCCAATTTTTATTGGTAGATATACCTTTGAGCCAAGTAGACCCATTTTTGTGTTCATTGTATGTTAGTTTCTTCCACAGTGGAATCATATTAAATCCAAAGGCATTCCATTTTCTTCTTCGTCTATAGGTTCCAAAGACTCCACCTGGGAGGGAGGTATCCGTGTTCCTGCATTGGCGCGATGGCCGGGTACCATAGCACCGGGCAGCCATTCTCAAGCCATCATCGGCAGCATGGACATCTTCGCCACTGCAGCTGATCTGTCGGGAGGAAAGCTGCCTCAGGATCGCATCATGGACAGCAGGAGCTTCTTACCCGTACTCACCGGAGCAACGACAGACCATTGGGAGGTCCTGCTCCATTATTGCAGTGATAGACTTATGGCAGTCACCTATGGTGTCTTCAAAGCACACTTATACACCAAGCCCTCAATGAACTTAGATCAACTAGCTGCTAAGTGTAGGAAAGGTTGGGTACCTACAGGGCCGTACCACCTCTGTTTTTCATGTGATCCACCGTGTGCTGTACACCATGATCCACCTTTATTATACAACATAGGGGTTGACCCTTCAGAGCTATCGCCACTGAATGTCAGGAAACATCTAAACGTCCTGAGGGAAATCCATAGAATCGTGGAAGAACATCAGAGAACTTTGGTGAAGGGTGACCCCCTGTTTGTACGAGAGAAGGTTTCAAGGTTGAACCCATGTTGCAATCCTCCTTACTGTATGTGCAATTATGATAGGACTTTATACCTAAAAGAACTTGGGCTTTCATGAACTGTATTACCTGGAAGAAAGATGCAGGCCCCAATCACAACATGTGCTTTGATATATGTTCTAGACACTATGAATATGACAGACAAAGAAAGCGGACAAAATATACAGTTCGTCAGGTAGACAAAGGAACATCCCTTCATTGCTATTATGTAAAAAGGTGAATATGCATGTGACACCTGTTCTACACATGTTAACATAATAGCAGTGTAGTGATGTTCCTTTGTCGGTCATATTCATAGTGCGAGCCTGCATAGGAAAACGGTTCAAACAGGGTATTATTTTTTTTTTTAAATGTTTTTCAACTCCTCTGGGCATTCAACCACTTAAAATTATAATTTGAAGAAGTCTTTGATGGGAAAAACGGTGATTCCTTGTCCTAACCCAATTCATCTCATATAAATTGTTGATTCAATATGGCAAAGAAAAACTATGAACTGTGCCGCTACCGCACATGAGTTGAAAAACAAGTCCAAATTGTAATTACTACTTCATTAAATTTCGAAAAAATGTTACCCAACCTGCTGTTTTGAATCATTTTCCTATGCAGGCTTGGAGCTCCCTGGAGATATTTGAGAATATGCAGTTAAATCGTTGATGAAATAAAATACTCTTCATAATAAAGTTGTATCCATTGCACCACATTTAATAAAAAATTTGAAGATAAATATGATCATAAGTAGCAACAATTTCAAGTCAACATATTCACTAGCCAGGCTTGGTGATAATGACTTTTTGATATTGATATTGATACCACCAAGCCTTAACTGGCCCTCAAAGATGGGGAAGAAACAAACCCTAAAATGGGTCCCAAATTACACCTACACACAACCAATCCCCGTAGCTGGCTTAGATCCTCGCTTTCGTGCTCCTACAATTAAAAATTGGATGTGAAAATAACCTTAAATTAGCAATTTCTTTGTTTACCAGAGTAATTTCTTTCCACATGTAACGCATGGCTTTAGGATCTGCATTACAATGATGACCTCTAAAATGTTAAGGGAATGCATGCAGTGCAACACCGATATGGGATACTAAGTTTCAGCGTGCTAATCAGTGTTGCACTGCATGCATGCTGTAGAGTTATCCATTACATGTGGAAAGGAATTGTAAAATATTTGCTAATTTTAGGTTATTTTTACCTCCGATTTTCAATAGGAGCGTGATAGAGAAGTTCTAAACCAGCTTATGGGGTTTTGTAGTGTGTGATTTCAGACGCATTTCAGGGCTTTTTTACCCTGCCTCTCCGTGCAGGTGATATCAATATAAAAAAAAAAAAACATATCAAAAAGTCATTATCCACTATCAACATGACGGACAAAGAAAGAGGACAAGATATACAGGTCCTCAGGTAGACAAAGGACTTCACTGCTACTATGTAAAAATGTGTAGAACAGGTGTCACATGCATATTCGCCTGTTCTACACATTTTTACATAACAGCAGTGAAGGGATGTTTCTTTGTCTACCACAGAAATTGTTGAGGGTAGAATGAGAAACTGTATATTTTGTCCTCTTTCTTTGTCCGTCATGTTCATAGTGATCACCAAGCCCTTAAAGCTCATATTCACTGGTGTTTTAAATTATCATACACACTGGCAGCCATTATTAATGGAATGAACGGAATCTTTAACCCCCCCCCCCCCCTCCCAAATGTAATATATATATATATCATAATTTATAGAGTGGGCCTCGTTACTTTTACAAAAACCTGGCCAAATTTCTTACCATTTTATGGTTCAAGAACCTTGTGGTACACACCTATGCTAACATGATCATTAATTTGCTTTGGCAAGCACTAGCTTATAAACTTTTCTATATGATAACCCAAACAAAATATCATTGTACATGTATATTACTTTTTAATCAAGGGGCCCAGTTATATTCAGAGATGAATTATCTTTCAATTTAATAAAAAAAAATAGACTTGTAGTAGTTGGAATCTATACCAGATCACTTGACGGTGGACGAAGCAAAAATAATTTGAATAGGATAGTAACTGGACCTTGGATCCTCATCTTGATTGATCTCAAAATGCATTTAGCAGAAGGACACCCGAGACGTAATTGTTGCCTTCAAAGAAATGCCACATCTTTATGTCATGTTTCCTGACTAAGATATGATCACGTTTCAGGTTTTGATATAAAGCTTGCCATGTTTCTGAACCCCAAACCCCAAACCCCACTTTTGCGACGGATCTGTTTAAATTTTAAGTGATTATTGCATGTCCCTTTATGTGAATTATGTTGACAAAATACCCTTCAAAATACATTTTTATCAACAACAGCACTAATAAATACGTTACTCAATAAAACATACATTCGTAACACAATATCAAAAACATTGCAGACTTTCTACTCAATAGAAAAATATATGCCAATACCTTGAAATAGCAATAATTCATGATTCGTTGTGAAAAGGGAGTAAAAAATGTTCATTCATAGCACACTTACAATGGATTATGTTATAGTTCAGGATATTTACTGGTGTGATTTAAATTATCGGGCAGGTTAAGAGTCGCCTTATACTAAAAAAATAAAATCCAAGATGGCCACTGAAAACTGAAATTAGCCATTATAAGTGGTATGAATGGATTCTTTACACCCCAAACCTAGGTATAGACACACAAAAAATGTACAGTTAACCACTAAATCATTCATACCCTTACCAAGTTTTGTCATTTTTTAAGCATGTGACAATTTGATATGTCCAATATATTTCTTGAGAATGTGACATATGGAAGCAAATGTAAAATTTACAAAGGATCTATATATCACAATTTATGGCTATTTTAAAGACTTTTGAAAATACCGGTAGCCACTTTCCGGCGGTCAAATTTTTAGTATATTGTTCCTAATATCAAACCCTATTATGACCCGACTAATAGTCCTATCGCCAAAAAAGTATTTTCTACAGTACAAAGGTAACAATTCAGAAGCAAGGAAATATGCTTTATAAAATGTCTGTAGTTTAGGAATGGAAGACAGAGGATATAATACTTATGGATGCACAATAAAATTGCTTTGGCAAGCACTAGCTATAAATTTTCTACATAATTTTCATAAAACCCCAATACATATCCTTTATCTATAATGTAATATGAAATATCAGCTCTCACTTAACCACTAGAGTTAAAGGAAACCTCAACCCAAGAAATAACTTTACTTGAGATTCATTACATTCTTGCCCATTAATCTATAAGATTCCCCACCAAAGTGTAGATAAAGCAAGAATAATGTACAGTTTCTCAGCACGACATGGGCATCATCATTTTCTTGTTAACATGACGCACAATGTGATGTCATTTATCAAGTAATGTACCGGGTATTCAAATGTATGATGCTTCCTTCCCAGGCGTGTGTGATGATGAAGCATTTCATTCACCTGCTATTGTTCCCCTGTTATATATTTTCCATCTTCTCAGGTATGATTGTCCTCATTGAAAAGCTCAGGTTTTTTTATTGATTTTAAAAGTCTTTCAAACTCAAGCTTGGTGCATGATACATGTATTTTTTTAACTGATACGTCACATTTACAAAAAAGGCATCGCATCATGCCAAGAATATCTTCGCTTATATATCTCTTGTGCATTTTCATCATCACAGGGCAGGAATACATCTCATTTTTCAGAATACCTACACTTGTTCTTGGGGGTGAGGTTTTCTTTAAGTTCTGTAACATTTTTTTGTTGTCAACAATACCCACATAAATGGAGAGTTTCAGTATAAAAAAAAGAAGATAATTCAGGTTTTCTGTAAAATCATCACTAAACAGGTGTTTTAAGATGCAATCGATCCTTTAGAAAGCACCCAAGAATAAAATCTAGATTAAATGATTTGCAGAACCAACCTAAAACAAATGGTTTCATGCATTTGGTACAGCAGATACATTGGTTCATGATACCAGTGACAAATTCTGTAGCAACTGATTGACAACTATAACTGACAATTCATTGAAATCAGAAGATGGATTGTAGATGGATGTCAGGTTGACAGGCCTTCGAGGTTGTTGATGTGCTGCCTGTCCGTTGTAGCATCTGCTCGCTCAGTTCTCCTTCAGACCTGCTGGCTGGTGGGCAATGAAACAACTCTAGAATTCATCTTCGGAGCTATCAGCCAAGAGCATCACCCGGTCATTGCTTGTCATTCTATGGACTTGGACCTGGACAGGACCAAAACACAGGAGATAACTATTATTATTATTTCAGTATGCAGATAGATCTTGCCAAGGACAAGGATTCAGAGGGTTTGATCATTGGAAGCACTCAAGTAGTCTCACTAAATAATTCATCGCAGCAATAGAATACTCAGCTTCTTCTCATACACATTATCAAGTATTATCAACATTATCAACAATAAAAAATAATCATAATATTTGGATTTGTGTACTAATAAACGATACACATTTTGCACTGTACATGCAAGTACTGAAGGAGTACAAAGGTATAAACATAAAAGAAATTCATTATGTAACTATCTTACCCCATTTCTACTTGACTTTGATGATCCTCCGCGTGACCCTCCTCTGCGAGAGCAATAACAGTAGGCAATGGCTATGATGACCACAGAAAGGGCACCCCCCACTGCTATTGGAAGCAGGATTTTTCCTGTGAAACTGTTGCTCTGTTTGAAGAGATAAGAAAATGAATATAATTGTAATTTTACTTGTAAGTGCATAATTGTTAATGTCTATAGTTCTATGCACAACGGAAACATGATTACAGCAATTCATTGATTTTAAATATCATATTTAACAAAAATGTATGGTGCCTTCCATGAAGACCCTAGTGCAGTATATGCTGGTACTGCAGTGTAACTTCTTATCCATCCCAAATCCCAATTCCTTCATTTCCTTGCTGGGAAAATTTGTCAATCATAATGTGATTACATAGAGGATTTGGACTCTTTTGAAGCAATTCTCTTACATTCACTAAATTACATGAAACTGAGACCCTGTTCTCACTCACTTCCTAGACCAATCCAGGCTAGACCGGTCAATATCTGTGAGTGTGAACAGCCAAGCAGTCCATGAAGTGATCTTCTGGACCGAACCAGAAGAGGGGGTAACCTCGCTATTCATAAGGACCGCTATTCATAAAGAAGAGGGTTGGTATTCATAATACAAAAGCAGGGTTGTTATTCATAATACTAGAAAAGGGTCGTTATTCATATGGTTCTACTTAATGTCTCAGTGGCGACGGGGCAGGGTGGTGGGGCAGGGAGGGCAAATTACGATAGGATTATATATGTTATGTTTTACTTCTTTTTTTCGTCACCACAGGAGTGGGGGGATGTCTCTATATAATTATCAAAGATAAAATATACTTTTTTTAAAGACATGATACAGGGACCATTTGTCGCCTCTTCCCCATCCCCCCCCCCCTTCCCCGCAGCTAAGCCACAGCCTTTAACTTTTCTGAACAGTGACCCTCATTCCCTATTATGAATAGTGACCCTCATTTCGTATTATAAATAGCGACCCTCATTTTGTGTTATGAATAGCAACCCTCATCTCACATTATGAATAGCGGTCCTTATTTCTTTAATAATAGTGACCCCCCCCCCCCCCCCCCCTTTCACTCTATGAATAGCGGTCCTTCAGGTATGGGAAGTTCCACGTTATGAATAGCGAGCAGATTCCAGAGATGCCAACTTTTGGAAAACAGAAAAAGGGAGGATTTGTAACAGACACCAAATAATGTGCGCATAGCGCACATCTCAAGCGTGAAGCGCCCGACCCATGCGGCCGGGGTCCAGGGCCCGCCTTAGGGCCCTGGAAGCTCTAGGGTTCTAGATGCTCTCTGGTGCAATCTGAACCTTATTTTGCAGCATTTTACATGTGTATTTTGTTAAATAATTCCCACTTTTTTTTTAAATAACATACAAATTGTACAAAATGCATGATGAATTCCTTTCAGACTTCAGAATACACAGGTACTTGATACTGTATTCGGTCTTATACTTCTGAGACCATTTCTTGGTCTTCTTTTGCTGATTTTCCACCATTTGGATTCTGTGTCAAAATCCACGCATTTGTTACGGCGATCCATATGCTGAAACAATCTTTCGCTACTCTTAATTTGTCTTCTAACGTAGTGGAATTACTACATGCTACAGTTAACAGACGATATTTCTCATTCAATTCACAGATATATATACACTGATAAGCGCCCCCCAAAAAAAATCATAATTAATAAAATCGGGAGGGTTGGCATCTCTGAGATTCCCCCCCCCCCCAGAAGTTCACCTCGCGATGTGGGACCGGTTCGCTTCCTACACTGTAGATCACCCTAGACCGATTTAGCATGCAGTATGAACCGTGCCAAGAAGCGATCTTATTTAATAACGGAAGTGACTGTGTTTTAGCGGGAAAGTAATGAAAGAGATCACAGTACAAGAATAAAAACAGAGAATATTATAAGGAAAGATAGAAAGAAAATGATAGAATGATAAAAAGAAAAGGTGATAAAAGGAAGAAACAAAAAATAACATTTGGAAGACAGAAAGAGAAAGTGATATGATAAAATAAACAACATAAGAAAAACAGAAAGAGAAAATGATAGAAGGAAAACAAAGAACTAGAAATTTAATTCGTCATGGGGACGAATTAGGTGGTCTGTCTTCAATTCCTATGTTCATGCTCATCTTTAATTCAATATTTACTATATTGAAAAAAGGAGAAGTTATATAGACATGTAAAGAATGATGATCATGATGATGATCATGAAGATGATCTTGATAGTAATGGTGATGACGATGATGATGATCATGGTGATGTTGATGACCATCATCAACAGACCATGAAGACATCTGATCAAAAAGTGAGAGGACATTTAGATAGCGTATAGTCTCAGCTACAACATACACAAAAATCAACAAAAATCAAGTTGAAATAACGGCGATATTGCTCGCAAAAGACATGAATGTAGAATCCAGATTTGAGAAAAAGTCATCTCCCATAAGGATTACACGCAAAAAGTAATGGATCAAGTGATAATAGGGTAATAATAAAGTAAATATGGTTGTTTATTACATTATTTGCGATTCTACGTGTTTTAATATCCAAAGGAGATGGTAGAGTGAAAGGTCAAAAAGAAAAAAAAGTGAAGAAAAAAAAATTGTTGGAGACGCCCGGACTCGAACCAGGGACCTCGAGGTCGGAAGTCAAGTGCGTTACCGATATACCAAAACATTTCCCATAGAATTGCACGTAAACGGAAAATAGAATTCACAAATCCCACTTTGTAAGTGAAATATGAGCATGATCCTGGCATCTGACCAAAAAATAAAGGGCACACTTGTGATAGCTTATTGTCTCAGCTACAACATACTCAAAGCTCAGCGAAAACAAAGCTAAAACGACGGAGATATTGCTCGCAAAAGACAGGATGTAAAATCCAGTTTTGAGAAAAAGTCATATCCCATAGAGTATACACGCAAAATGTGAAAAATTGACATGCCTCCTTTAATCGCAAAAATACGCCATGATACCATTGTCAAAATGAAATATCGTGGTTACTGCATTTGTAGAGAATATTCTCAGGTAGAACATATCAAAATTTGAAAGAAAATTGATCAATATTTTCAGAGATACAATCAATTTTCCAAAAATCTGCTGACGTCATAATATGCAAATTAAAATTATGAGTTCGGAGGCCATTATGATGACGTCATGAGTTAATTGAGGGTCAAATGACACATGAAATCATATCTCCAACTCATGCTTTTTCCAACCATGATATAAAAATCGGGGTCAATTGACTATCTGAAGAGCTATTTCGATTTTTAAAATGGGATGTTTTTGATCAAATTTGCATTATATTGCCCATAGCAGCCATAGCAGCGCAGATTTTGAACTTTGACGCGCGCTCACGGCCTTATGAAAGGTCAAGAGTGACTGAAATTAATGTAAATTGTCATTTACGGTAAGAGGAATCTGAATCATGTAAACAATTTGAATTTGACCTTTTCCGCGCGTAATGAGCGCGCGCAACGCGCGCGGTGACACGTACGGATGGAAAATTTTGAAATGCTTAAAATGACCCGATTCGTACTCTCGTTTAATAGTCAAGTGATTTTGAGCATTTTAAAATTTTGACGCGCGCGTACGTGCGCGTCATGAACTTTATGTGACCTTTAATGACATGACTTGTTGACCCTTGACCTGAAGTATATGTGATATGAATATGAATGACCTTTGCTTATGCATCATGAAGATATGATGGATAACGTGATTTCACAAAATGGCGCCTGGATGACGTCACGATAACCTGATGACCTTGAAAAGGTTACTGTCACGTCTCATGACAAAGACCTATGACTGTGTCAAAATTGAAAGAAATTAACACAACCGATCTTGAGTTAACCGATGAACAAAAAACGGGGAGAAATAAAAATAAATAATAATAATAATAATAAATAAATAAAGAAAGAAAATTCTGACGAAAACAATAGGTGATCTGTCGAAAACGACAGACCACCTAATAACATGACGAAAGATAGAAAGAGAAAAAATGATTGAATAATTAACGAAGAATGACATGTAAAAAAAGGAAAAATAGCAAACACAAGGAAAGACAGGAAGAGAACATGATAAATAGAAAATTTGAAGATAGAAAAGATAAAAGATGGAAAAAATAAAGAATAACATAAGAAAAACAGAAAAATAAAATGATAGAATGATAAAAAATATAGCAGAAGATGAGGCACTCTATTTGGTTTTAAATTATGAGCAAAACATTTGACCCGCTGAGCTTTGCTACCCTAGCAACAGGAGCGGTCTAGCTCGTGAGTGTGAACATAAACGAAGCATACCTCTGGAGCAATCCAGTGGATCGGTCTAGCCTAGAATAGTCTAGGAAGTGAGTGCGAACAGGGTCTGATTCAAAATATAGTTTTCAGTGTGCAACCAATTTCAATCACACTATCCATGTGATAAAATAATTGTTCATAACAATAATATAATCTGCACATTTATAATTTATCTCTATGCACTTCTAAAGTGGAACATATGGTATTAAATAGTAATACTTTTGAGCAGTTGTTTCGAACATCATTCATGTTTCGAATAGCATGCTATGAAGAAAAAAAACAACATCATTTTGATAAGGTTGATAATCTTCAAACAGGTCAATGTTCAAGAGACATACAAACACTTCCAGTGACAAACAATTACATAGTGAAGTGATGTACTACAGTACTTCATACAAATGTCACATATTTACAAATATGCAATGTAATGTCAAGTACTACTGTAGAAGTACATGTACATGTAAGTAAATGTACGTGCAGCATGACCAGAAGATTATATTACTCAAGAATAAACTTCTGCAATGAAGGCATTATTAGTGAAAAACCTGATTTAAAACTTTCAGGGAGTTTCTTTATCTCTTGATATTCTGACATTTTTGCTACAAACTTAAATTTGTAGAGAGTAAAACGTGAGTCACTTTGAGGTTCGAAGTTGTCCAATAACAAGTTTTATATATACATGTATATCTAATCAACCATTACCTAATTCAATACAAAGGCAATATGGAATCCGTTTTTGAATGCCTACTACTGTATACTTTATTTAATTTATGGATCATTCAAATATTATAGAGAATGCTGCCTTGGTTAAGCCCTTCTATATTTTAGAACTGTTATTCTATTCCTATTTACTATCAGAACTATGAATTTATTATGTTGCTCATGATTTTATTTCTTAACAAAAATGGAAATACTTGATTTAAAGTAAATGGTACAGGAACAGCTTTCCTTTCTATGTATACGTGTGACGAGCAAATATGAATGATTTTGTTTTGGTTTTATCAATTTTAAACCATTTTGTTTTGGTTTACATCTGATTTCATTTTCTTTACATGGTTTGTATAATTCATGGCTAATTAACAACAAGTTAAGCCAAATCAAGAGAACAAGGCTATAATGGGCTTGTAACAGTGCCAACCCATGCTCTACTTGTGGGTACATTGTAGGTCTACGTTATAAAAGGTCAGTGTCGCATACATATACTTGGCAAGGTTCTTTGTATTTAGTTCATGGTTGTGGGTTAACTGATTGATTCAATTTAATGCATTTCCTTTATAATGTTGCTGAAGGTTCCTCTTGGACCCAAACACATACATGTAATGTGCCGCAGTTCCAGACAAAAACATGAAGCTGACTGCATGGAGACCGTTTCATTTTCCGATTCCCAAATGGTATTACTCAGAGCTGGTCAAAGTCCTGAATTTGGTGAAAACTAAAAATGTGCTTGATACATCTTAACACATGTAGTTGAATTACATTGTAAGTCTAAGTTTTTCTGTCAGCTTAAGCAGATTTGGCCTCAATAGGGAAACAAATTTGGTGGTTATACAGTATGTCCAACAGACAGATTTTTTTTGTTCAGTGAAATAAAGTTCAGTAACAAATCAATATGTGAGATATTAAAAATGAAGAAAATTGATTGTTATCCAAGAAAATTACGAGTGATTGATAATTCTAAACTGACCAAATTAATCCCAATTGATATAGTCCATTCTATCTCTTCATATATGTACATGTACATGTACTTGTACTTGTAATTTATATCTTTCTCAAGAGGAAATGGTCAACAACTCACATCAATCCTGACTATTTTATAGGATAGAGCTTTTTAGGGTTATATTCTACCCCCATGGCCATACATCGAAGTGTATCCAAATATAAGAAAATTCCGGAAATTTCTTTTACATGTACCTCTTTGACTTTTACCTTTAATCATGGGTATATAAAACCTTTGGCTCAGTCATCGAAGCTAAATACATTGTACATTTGTCATGTGATAGCAGTCGCCTACGTTGTATTCATACTGACATGTGCTTCAACAATTATCATCATGCCAAAGGAACCACGCGTATGTAAAACTTGATTTGTTTTGTTATTGCTGCATGTGTATGATGCAAACACAAACTGAGTTATGGACCGCAAGATAACAAAGAGAAAGAAATACAAAGTGTGATATTACATTTGGTCTTTTTCTGTTAGATATACTGTAGCCTTATTCTTGTCTTCATGTATGTTAGCAATATATTTTGATTCCATGTACGTTGAGTTATCTACTCACATATTATAATTTCTAAATCTGCATTGATGTATGAGGGACAGGGACTTTGAGGGTGTAGTCAAAGTAAAATACAAATTCCCATTTTCACTTTATGCAAACAGTATATTCAAAACTAATGATAAGGTACACCATGCATACAATACAATTCAATGTAATCACATAGAAAGATAATATTAAATCTTGATCATGGTTATAGCCTAGCTGCACTTGTTCAAGCAGGAACAATCAATGTAAATCAATGCCTGGGACTACACAGATGGTGAGTGACAAAGGCAGACCATATCCAAGGTCATCGAGATACAGAGCAGCCGGCTGATGAAATATGGAGATATGGATGAAAGGAACATGAGAGGGGTGACGATGACTCATTCCCTATGGGACTTCATTGATTCTCCCAAATGCAAAATATTGGATGTCCTGTGCACAATATACTGTGCACGATTCGCAAAACAGTCTGGAGCAAAGTAATAGCATGCCATCTAGATATATGAGCTGATACCCTGAAACAAACGCCATAGAGCCCAATTTTTTTTCTTCTGATTGCTGTACCCTATTTGATAGAGAAAGTTATTTCAAAATGTCCTTTCTGTACTGCACACACATGAGAACTTCATTTACATGTACATGCTTATTTTAAAAGAGGGTAGGAAAGTAATGTACATGTACTTACCGTAATTCCAATTATACTCCAATCTCCACCTGAAGAAGAATAACAAGTAAAGAAGAAAGGTGAACTTTTGAGATATAATAAATATGGAACGAGGACAACTATCAGAAGAACAATTCGTCCCCCACCCCACAACATTTACATACAACTTTAAAACTAATCATAAATATTATACCCAAAGCATTTGAATCTTTGAGACATCAAGATATACACCTTGTGAAAAATATCTTTGACAAAATAAACACTTAGATGGTCCTTCCCCAAATCATTTATAAATAGAACTGGGAATTTAAACAACTTAAAAATATACTGTAGTAATGAAGCAAATTTCTGTAATACAATTTAACGATGTTCCATTATTTACCACCAAAGTACCTGGGGTGGGGGCTAGTTTGCAGGCCAAACCCTGGTCAGTCATAAAAGAGAGTCTGCACTATAAGACTACCATGTACTGTAGCTGCTGACACAACCACACAACCAGTAGGTAGCTGGGCTAGACTTCTCTCAAGGCACAATGATTTTTTGATTAAGTGTCAAATTAGGGTCTGTGCTTGCAGACTAGGTGGGGGCCCGGGAAGAAGGGGGGGGTTGCTTTTTGTTTTCAGATCCATCTTTCAATACTCATACAGTGAAATATGAAAAATACAAATGTTGACGAAAATGCCCTCCTGCAGATATTTGACTCCTAATCCTAATCCAATATTGAATCATCATGGTAACAGGAAGAGCCACATGCTGAGTTAAGATGAACTAAGCACATGTAGCTCAACATCCTCGAGATAAAAGATAAGCATCTGTATCAATACAAGGCTACTTTTATCCTTCAATCGCAGATTTAACACTTAAGGCAAGATCTTGAAATTTGTTGACTTTAATACTGACTGGATGAGGGCCATGACCTTGTTGATCATAAATCCATAAAATTGAACATTTCTGGTTGTGGAAATTAAATAAATAACATCCTGCATACATGTAGGCAAGGGCCATATTATTGACACTGCATTATATGATACACACATTTCAAACAAATACAATGAGTGATTTCAAGTTGGGTGTTAGTGTTAGTGTTAGTGTTAAGAGCAGTCAAGAGCTCTTAAATCGAGCGAAAAATTTGCTGATGAAATTAAGAGCCGATACCGATATCAAAATCGATAGCTTAACACCAGCTGTGACGTCACCACATACTTGATTTCACGACTATGATTTAAAAATAGTACATAAAAACTAAAGATATCATGTAAATAAAAGAATAAATATAGACCTATTTCTCTGGTCTTATAAAATAACTAATTTTACACAAAAGAATATAAGAATTACCTGTTTCACAATTTTTTATTTGATCGTCAGACAATAAATTGGCGTCGTTCGTGAGATGACTGTTGTGCGGTACAACACTAACACCGAAGTGGAAATCAACATTGCTTAATCCCTAGGGGCTAGTGTTAGTGAATAGGACATTTGTCCATAAAATATTAACACCAGCCACAAAGGTCGGTTCAGAAGACGACAATTTTGCAAAATCGATAACACTAGCTACCGGAAGTTGACGACATTCAGAGGTCAAAGCCTTAACACCAGCTGATTTCCATTTCGGTGTTTAGGCTGGTGTTGGTGTTTATTAAACACTAACACCAGCCTTAAACACCCAACTTGAAATCACTCAATGTAGATGTAACCCTTAACTTCGACATACAGTAAGTATTCATTTGCATCTTGCAGGTTAATTGTAAAGGCAGAATTTGACATCATCCTAACTGCTCAGTGCTTACTATGAAAATTCATTTTCCAAAGTTAAATACATGTGTGTACTACATTTAATACCCAAATTATAAATAAGAAACAACTTTCACAACAATGTTCCATAGATGATCTGCATTTTGTTTTAAAAAGTACAAACATCAAGTTGCTATAAAACACCATTCCTCGCATATTATGGGCAGCTAATGCAATTTGGATAGAATTTTTAAAGGTAAAGACCAGTATTGGAAATGCCCCAATTTCAAAAAATGAAATGGAAGCTCTCACTACCAATCATGTGAAAGAATATGTTTTGACTAATACATGATGATACAAAATTTGCCGGGAAACCGCCTACTAATTCATATATTTGGTAAATTTGTTTCTCTTATGGTCTGTGAGAGATATAGGGTAGTCCCATATACATCTTTCTGTGTATAGTGCTTGTAAATTTACGAAGAATGGGCCAAATTTCTTATCATTTTGATGATTCCAGAACCTTGCAGATGCTAGATGCTAGATGATCAACCTTTTCTGATCGATTCCACAACGTTTCTTTCACAATGCAATCGCATTACCATAACTGGTCTTTACCTTTAAGTATATTTCTTTAGCAGGGGAATACATCAACTTCAATAATATTCACTGGAACTTCAAGAACAAACTAGGGTTATAGCTCTATTTACTTCCAATAAAAGCATCACAGGAACTTCAGGAAGCAATTGATTACACCATAAAACGTGTACAGATTATAGCCTACTGTCTGGGAGGAATTATCACATTAAGAAATTAGAAACATCTTCCTGTAATCTCCATGGATACAGAAGCTTAGCACTTTGAAACCAAGCAGACAAGTAACCCTTACTGTACTTCCTCCGTTCAGTGTGTTAATAGATCATTTCCAATATAAAGAGACTGAAGCCACTGAGAAAGAGAGAGGGAAAGAAAGAGAGAGAAAGAAAGAGGGAGAGAAAGAAAGAGGGAGAAAGAAAGAGAGAGAAAGAAAGAGGGAGAGAAAGAAAGAGAGAGAAAGAAAGAGAAAGATGGAGAGAGAGAGAGGAAGGAAGTAACAAGAATTGTAGAATGAGATTTCCTGGCAGTTATCTTGATGTGTTTTATTTTTACCAGAGCTCTTTCAAAGATGTTTCAGAAGTTTCCAACATCTAAATAATCTCTCACTCCCATACATGTATCTTTTGTACCTTTTTGTTTTCACTATGATAGTCAAACGTGGAATCTACCAATCTGATTATTACAGGTAAAATATGAGTCTACGTGTAGGATACAAAGGGATCAAGTCTCAATAGTTCACGATTCTTATTCCTGCAATTTTTCTTTTATTTTGTTTTGTTAAAGGGATAGTTGAGTTCTGTTTTCAGACCGCAAATGCCTTCAAAGTGCATGGTTATTGCTCTTATCTATTACATTTCCATTGCCCTTGTAGAACCTAAAATTGCTATGAAGGTAATTTTAAACCCCAAAATGTGTAAAAATTTAGCCAATACGATCATACCAATTCAGCTGCACTTTCAAAAAAACATGGTGACCGTTAATTAATTATTTGATTAAAAATAACAATACATGAGCCGGCTAATTGTGGGTAATATAAGCAACTTGAAAATGCCAACAAAAAAAGCATTGGCTGAAATACGACGTAAAAGGCGTTATTTCGTATCTTTCAACGTTTTTTTTTCCAATTTTTCAAAATATCTAATATTTGTGGTGATTTCAGCTGACTCTGAACCGATTTTGATCAAACAAAGATGATTTTGTCATTTAAATATTATGTTCTTTCAAATTTGACACTCAGTTTTTCATTATCTCATAAAAAAAATATTTTGTTTAGCGCCCTCTGCAACAGAACTCAACTATCCCTTTAAGAACCTGCATTACTAACAAAAGTTTTTATCATATATATATACATGTACCCGCATGTTCATGTTCAACCAACAAGTCATTAAAATTGCTTAGTTCAGATCAACCAGTAGTCACATATTTAGCATGAATACATGTACATCAGTCAACTTCACATGTATTGTGTTTAGTTGACGAACCAGAGAGTCAGATAAAGAAAGCAAAATATTTCAAATAAAAAATGAACAAAATTTGCCTACAAGAATGCTAACAGTGAATTTGTGTACACCTTGTGTACAGGTTTTGAAAGTCGAGTGAAAGTCGAGTGGAAGGAGAAAAACGATGCTTCTAAAAAGATAATCACCCATATCATGACATGTGTTTGAAGTTAAATACGCAATGATTCTATTCCAAAAGACTTGTTCAAACACTGTGCATATTGATATTTGAACTAATAGTACAAACATTTGATTTAGCCAAGATAGAGAGACTGACCTATGAAGAACAAACAACTGAAAATAGTAGACTAGTTGATATATCATGGATTTCAGTGAGCATCTGAAATATATTGATCCCACTTAACACTTGTTGGCAAAATATTAAAGGGAGAGTCCACCGATCTTGTGGTTTTAAATATTTTTAAATGAGAGAAGCAGATTAGTAACAGTTTGATTTAAATCAGATTAAAAACAAGTTTAACAACAAAGAAATATATCCTCCCTCTCTCTCACATGGTGCACCCGCAAGCGGCAAGCCTACTATATAAAGAAATATATATGTTAAAAGATGTTACTGTTTCAACGTAACATAAATTGGCAACTCTGTGACACATCTTCCAAGGACCTCTGCAATTTGCTATGCACTGACAATTTAATCAATGTCAGTTTTCTTACCTTTTGATTAAGGAATAAATTTGTTTGATTCAAGGGATGTGTAAAAACATAGTTGCAATCATATCTAGAGACTTGTATAAGGGTTGATTTTATGATTTACAATTCTCTTTAGATATATTTGTTATTCTTCTTAGTATGGAGCAAATGAGAGAAGACTTAATAGGAAGATACAGTGTACATCGAGTTACCAATTTGTGTTCCATCGATTGAATTTCAAATATTCAAGATTTTTTTCTTCTTTTTAATCAGATTTTACTCAAACTTTCATTGATCAGTTTCCTAATTCTTCTACTTCTATACAGACTTACTTAATTATCATTTATCAAGGCTACTTTTCCTTCATTTCTGCCATTCTATCACATGCTATACCTGTATGTTTGACAGCTTACAGTAAGACCAAGATAAGAAATTTAAAAATGTGTGGCAAATAGCAATGAAGTGACTGAACACAGTTGGGTACTTACAGTACATGTTCTAACTGTACAGAAAACTTTTCTGTATGTCTATGAAGTCATTTTCAACCAGAGTTCCAAACCTTCACCCCATCCACATGGTACTACTGTGGACCTACTACAATGTACTAACACTATGAACATGAGTGACAAAGAAAGCGGACAAAATATACAGTTCCTCAGGTAGACAAAGGAACATCCCATCACTGCTATTATGTAAAAATGTGTAGAACAGGTGTCACATGCATATTCACCTTTTTACATAATAGCAGTGAAGGGATGTTCCTTTGTCTACCTGAGGAACTGTATATTTTGTCCGCTTTCTTTGTTCGTCATTTTCGTAGTGTAAGCTACACTGGAGAGTTACTGAATCCTCTTCTGTGCCAATCTACACATGGACAGCCCGATTCCTACAGCATCTACAAGTACATGTACAAGTACAGCCCCAACCATGCATGCTTGAACAGACACAGATGTACCGGTATGCAAATTTAGGGATGCTTCTTTGCATCTCTATGGATGGAATTCACTTTGCATACAACAGCTGTTGCTATGTCGGGCACTCTCCAGACAAGCTTTTCAATCATGAAGAGAAACCTTTGTTCAAAAAGGATCGGGTCTAAAAAGTATGCAATAAACAGGGCTATCAAACATTTATAAACAAGGGGAGCACCCAAGGCAGCCATGCCTTCATTAAATGCAATCAATAGGGCAGCATTCTGATTTGATGAAATATTAAAGTTGGGGCACTAAAGGGGCGCTGCCATTGAGACCCTATTAAAGGGCCACTCTAACCCAACTAACATATAGCATTTCAAAACATTAATACACCTCTACTTATTAATATTCCAGCTTCTGATTTTTCAGAAAATCTGTAAATTGACCAAAATATGATAATAACCATCCATTTTTCACAGATCTCACGCTTGCTGGGCTACGCCCCTCGAAAAAAGGTAATAAGGTGACATGGTTTGATGACGCATTTGATGTCATTGGGCAGGTCCAAGCTATTTGGAATGTGATGTACGGGACATTTATTATATATATTTATATGGCTATCTTTTGGTATGAGTCTGTGGCTATTAAGGGCTAGTTCATTTGTGGAAAGTTTTAGTTCTGACCAATTCTTTAATTAATTTTTAATGTAATTAATGTGCTGCATGACGTACAGGACGCTGTGTGCTGTTACCTCTGATGTCTGAGGTTCGAAGCCGCCAATATCATTGGAAAGCTTGAGTAGTGATTTTGTTCACTTTTTATTTGAACTAACAAGGGGAAAATTGAACAGATGATACAATATGAATACGAAAGCCTAAAGCTATGGTCACAAATTAGAGCAGCGACCGACCGATCAGTAGCCTGCTCGATCGCTGCTGGAATTAGGCATCGCCCAGCGATTAGTTCGCTGCCCGGGCGGCGACCGCCCAGGCACCGAGCGTATTTTGGGCGGCGGGTGAAAAGTGGGCAGGCGCCGCCCAAATTTTAACTCCGCGCTAAAACTTCAGCGGCGACCGAGCGATGCCCTAACAACGAGCGGTGACCGGCCGGTCCCCGCTCGGTGGCCGGCCGGTCGCCGCTCGGTGGCCGGCCGGTCGCCGCTCGGTGGCCGGCCGGTCGCCGCTCGGTGGCCGGGCAGCCGCCGGGCAGAATTGGTTAAAAACTCGCCGCTCGGCCGCCGAGCAGGCTACTTTTGGGTAATGTGACCATAGCATAATTGTGATCCTGGTATAATAGCAGTTTTAATTTGTGAAAAATAGTAGATACTTACAATCCTAAAACCTGCAATTTGACACTTTTTGGATTACTTCCGGCTCACAAAAATAAAAAGTGAATTAGTTCTTTATGATATTATATGTCAGATTAGTGCCTAGTGCCTACACATACCAAGTCAAGTAGTTTTGATTGCTTTTTCAGGAAAGTTTGCTCCATTTCCTTTCGCTTGCCTTCTGTAAAGGGTAAGCACTGTGTACTGCTCGTATTATCAGACGAGTGGTAGCCAAAAGTAATTATCATTACAAAAGCATATTTCCCTTTGAAAGTGGCCAGTTAGTTTGCAGCTAGGCAGGAATCTTTTGTCTACGTATCTGCAAGGGAGATCCAGTTAAGCACATGCCTGACATATTTTCTCTTGGCGGCATCGAAGATGGTACAGAGGGAATGAGCTAGATACGACTCCATCTCTGAAAACTTCTTGGTCAAGTTTAGTACATGAAAGAATTGTTAATGGGATTCTGGGACACTTTAAGGGAGCAGCCCCAGAATCCTTGAGGGCAATGTACAGATCTAAAACCCTGCCAGGCATTTGAACTTAAAAGTTGAACATATCTACAGTAATTTCGGCAATTGGAGCAAATGAAGGTTGCTGCCAAGACAATAATAGGCCATGACATTTGACCTATAAAAAACAAAGAGTTGCCTTGACTGTTCATCAAATCATTGCTCAACTGAAATTACACCAAAAAACTCATAATCCTTATATTATAGTACATTTGGCAGATAACCTGAGATAACATTGTGCCTTTCTACCCAAGTGTTACAGCATGCAGGTTTCATAAAAAGATGGTAGAATGTGAAACAATTTTATCCAAAAGATCAACAACCTGGTAAATCTCATCTGAAAAACTTCCTATATCATATTTGGTAATCAATAAAACTTTCCCTCAAAATATTATGTAATACAAAGAAAAATTGTTAAAATGATGCGGGGGACCTAATCAAACCTCTATGTAAATGAAAAGTAGAACTTGGGTATACATGTACATGTATGCATTTCAAAGAGGATGACCAAAAATCATTTCAGTTACTCAGTTACACAATAAAACAAAAATTTGGTTTGGTACATTTTCAATCAATTAGAAACCATGAATTGAAAAAAAAATTGTACTCACTTTCTTTTGTGGTTTGGTTGTCTGGTATATTTGTTGACTTGCTCGCTGTTGTTGAAGCTTCTTGTGGTGTACTCGCTGTAGGTGTTCTTGCCACTTGTAATGTTGTTTCATGTACTGGACTAAACGGTTGAGTTGCAGTTGTTTTAATGGTTGTTGGCTGTGTTGTAGTGTGCAGTGTAGTGGAAGTCAATGCTGTGGTAGCTGGATGTAATGTTGTAGTAGTTGGTAATGCCGTGGTAACAACTTTTGTTGTTAAATGTACTGGGCTGACTGTGTGTGGTGAGGTGGCAATGGCTTCCAAGATTGTAACAACTGGCATCGGCGTGGTTGTTGTTGCAGGTATTGCAGTTATTGTCAGGGTTGGCGTAGTCGTTGTTGCAGGGGATGTTGTTGTTGTGGCTACTGGAGTGGAGGTTGCTGCCAAAGTCAGTGGTAATGATGTTGCCTTTCCTGTTAGATTCAAAGCATCTCCATTTTCATTAGGCAGTGATGTTGGAACCTGCAAACAGAAAGCAAAGGACCTTGTCAACCATTCAGATATAATTACTAATTAATTGAGCACTTTAAGGGAATGCTTTCTAATGTGATATGCTCTTTTTTTAATTTGTTATAACAAAGGAAATTAAGTACCATTGGCAATTTTAATGAATTAACAAAAATTGCAGGAAATGTACAGCTTTTATGATTCATAATACATGTATCTGTGTTCTAACATTGACATCCAAAAGTACAAAATTCTAAGACCATAACCAATTAATCAGAAACAATGTGCAAATATTTTCAAATCCTTTTAAACTTATGAGGAAAAAAATGCTGAAAGAGCAGTCCAAAGGTTGATGGGAACCAAAATCGTATGATTAACGGAATCCTCTGAAATTACACTTCTATTAATTTACGATGTAGGCTTATTCATACTGCAGTAGAAGCAAATTTCGCTACGAAACATCAACTGATCCTTTTGCTACTTTTAGGGATGTTTTTTAAATATTTGTATTCATTCTTATTACCAGATTTGAATCAATAGATAGTGTAGTTGAATTTACAACCATGCAATGACAATGTATTTAGTTATTAATTAAATAGCACCTTGAAATAAAGGCACATTTAGAAACTACATGTACCTAACTATATGTTAAGTTACAAGACCTTAGGCCATGTAAAATTGATTACATGTTGATCGTCCGCATTTTTTGAAAAAGAGGAGGAGGGTGTACCATGTTATTTGATATTTGATATTTTTCAAAATGGCCGCTCAAAATGGCCGCTCGGTACATTTTCCCTGACAGTCGAGGTTTTTTTTTTTCAAGATGGCCGCCGACAATTTTTTTTTTTTTAAACCAGAAATAGAGCCATTTTAGCAGTGTTTTTCATGTTTTTTTTTCTTTCAAAAAAAAAAAAAAAAAAAAAAAAATCAAAAAAAAAATTCAAAAAAAAAAAAAAAAAAAAATAACAAATAACAAAAAATAGGAGGCGGCCCCCAAAAAGGAAGCGGGCGGGGACGATCAACATGAAATCAATTTTACATGGCCTTACCTTAGGTAGATTTGTAACAGAATATTGCAGTAAGGGTTGTGCTGTTGAACTCTCTGAAACATTAGCAGTTGTTGATTGGACTTCTATCAAGTCTGTTACGATATCCGTACTGTTGACTGGGAAACCAGTTACATAACCGGTAATGGTGAATAATGTTCCAAGGAGGAAAGGCATGTAGATCCAAAGTACTCGCTCCATGGTCAAAGCACTTGCATAGCAGTAGGGAGCAGATGTGGTTTCACTAGCTGTTCGGACACAGATTCTACACGTAAAATGAAGGGAGAAAAAAGAGACATATTTCTGTAATATGCATACATGTATATACTTACATGTATGAGCATTTAGTATCATAACGTATCATCTCTAGCAAAAACTTTGCACCCCCAATTTTAACAAATTTTGTAGTTTGTACTTCTAAAAACTTTTATTATCATACACTTTTCTACATAAATGTAGCCAAATGCCTGAATGTTCATACATTACCGAGTCTACTGACCAACAAAAACATCTTGATATCACAATGTTTCACTTACCACTTGTCAATTTGTGATTAACTATTTTGCTGTAGACTATTAGTTCATTAATAGTATAATTTTTTTCCAATCTTGGATCAAAATTAGCATTCCTAATTTCTTATCCTTACAAATTTATAAATCTGGCCTTCTCATCAGTGTTAGATCAACAGTACATTTACAGCTGCCATTTCCGGATTAGAAACACATTATTGTTGATCCTAAAAAAGGCATCTTAATTCCATGAAGGTCCTCTTTGAACTACTTTCGACTTCAGTACAGCAGATGTAAACAATTAGAATAAAACTAAAACAACCAACAAATTGGACATCACGATCTATGGTACAGCCAAAGGACCGATAATCATGATTTGAATGCTTCATGCATGTATGATTCCCAGATTTTACCCCCTTCCACACACCCAAACCCCACATTATCAAAAAGACAAACACCAACAAATCAGGCCTTAAAGTACTTGAAGAACAAGATTACCAGTCACATGATCATGGTCATGCCACTGCCATGGTGGTCATTTTCTCATGTAACTTGTGTAACTAATCATGCTAGAGTTAATTGTTAATTTTGTTCAATAACTAGTATAGTCTAGACTATTAGTAACACAATAAGTCACAAATCTTGAAACTTGGTGATAAAATTCTAGTTTAGATTTTAGAATGCATATAGACAGTATTTGTTTAACTTTAACTGTTACTTTAAAAGTTAGAAATATTAAATCAAAACTTACCAAATACCTTTTTTTCACCAAGCAAGCTATAAGAGTCAGAGTCAGACAGTCAAATTAAAATTAAAAAACAACAACAATGCAATGGAAATGACAGGAATCTCTGCAACGTTGCACCGCCACACAACCGGTTCCTCCACTGCAGAGTACCGTAAGGCTAGTCTAGCTATTCGGAAAACAAACAACTTATTGGCTGTTGACAAATCTCATTTATCACCAGGTACTACTAGGTAGAGAGAGACTGAGAGATCATCAGCAGCAACAACTAGATCTATATCAATAGTATATAGGCAGCACACGTTACAAAGTACAGGTAGATCTTCACAGTAAAGTAGTAGTACACGTACACGTCGTCACGTCAGCAGAGCTAGAGCTAGTAGTATAGTACACAGTCGAGGATATATCAGCTGACAGCTTCATGCATACATGTGACACAAATACTTCATGGTTCTGTGCATGCAAAGTGGCAAAGTTTGCACCCTTTCAAGACCATGGTGTATTTGAAGAAACTGACATAAATTGAAATATTAAGTGTTGGGCGATCCTGCATGCTAGCTGGATAAGGGGCTAAATGGATTTAGTCACTAACATCAAAAATATATTTATGCAAAATGCCTCTCACATAATCGAAACCTACTTTAAAACAAGATATATAAACAGCCCGTCAATCTTATATTTTCCCCATATTTATAAACCATAATACACCTACATAATTATACTACTTTTCAGAAATGGGAAAGACCGAAAGGCACCAATCTATTCCGACCTAATACTACTATTCCATCCGATGTGGGAATAAAATCCAATCAAATTATAATTTAGGATTTATTGTGCCATGCAAGAAAGACAAATAAGACGACAAGGTGATTCAAGATGACGTTTCTCAATATATGGTCATCTTCTTGATCCTTCCAATAATGGGTCCATGTCCGCTCCTTTCTTCCTTCATACTTTTGTTTCAAAGTAATTATGCGGCACAAGTCCTCTGTCTGCTTTCATCGTTTTAATTATTTCTTTGATTATTTCTTAAAGGTACTTTGTCCCATTTACAGTAAAACAAAGATGAAAAGGTTAAACTCCAATGGCATTTAAAAGATAATACTAATTAAGTTGTTGGATCGACTTTAGTGATTGCAATCACTAAAGTAATAGCCTGATTTTCAGACCCTTGTACCGAATGGTCGTGCGTTTTGTGCAGCGCAAAGATTCAATCAGTTTAATTTCGGTCATTACAAGATTTGGGTTATCGATGTAGACAAATGCTCATGTACCCTTTACAGCTCATTTTATGAATGTCATTTCCAAAGAAAGAAAAAAGGTCAGTCAGTCACTCACTCACTCAATATTGTCTGACAGTAAAGTTTAGCAAGTAAACGGGTTTCCTTGCATAATTTGAACATTAGGACACTGCTAACGTTTAAATTTCACAGAAAGAACATACGTGACATAATTATTCATAATCCTGCAAAGTTCTATAGAAATCGATATTGGCTGCAAAAGGGACATAGTACCGCCAAAGGATCGCTCAAAAAGAAGAAGAAGACATTCTACTTTGGGAGAAATTTGAATCCAGGCCCTGCTTTGTCTTATCAATGTTGAAATATGACACGTCTTATACCCCCTGATCTCTCTCTCTCTCTCTCTCTCTCTCTCTCTTTCTCTCTCTCCCAATCAGGCACGTAGCCACGGGGGGGGGGGGGGGGGCACGTGCCCCCCAAAAAAAATATTTCCAAGATCCGTTGAATTTTTTAGAGCCCCCTTTTTTTTTACCTCGATCGATTACATGTATGTGCCCCCCCCCCCCCCCCAAACATCAAACTCTGGCTACGTGCCTGCTCCCAATAATCATCTCTGCGTCTCTTTTTTCGTTCCTTTTTTCCCTCTTTATCAATCTCCATCTTTCGTCTTTCCCATATCTCAATTGAAGCTTGCAGTCGATTCTCCACCGATCTGATTTCACTTGACACAGTGAGAATTGTCATCAGTCTCATTACTGGCCAAATATAAATCACCTTTTAATGAATCTCTGTTTACATATAATAAATCTTCATTGCAATGTTTTGTTTCGAATAATATACATTTTTATTCACCATCACACATTTATTATTTTTCTTTTAACAAAATTACGTCACCAGGTAGATATCTGAGAAGGCTGCGTATGAATAAAAATGACAAACATTATGTAGCAGATGAAAGTAATATTTTTATATAAATCATGTGCATTATAAGCAGAAGAGAAATTGTTAAAATCAAAGGTAGATAGCAGAAATGAGGCAGAGATGGAGAGAGAGAGAGAGAGAGAGAGAGAGACAGGGAGAGAGAGACAGAGACAGAGAGAGACAGATACAGAGAGGAGGGAGGATGGAGAAAGACTATGTCGTAAAAAATAGTCTGAAAAACATTACACTGAAAAAAATCAACGATATTACAAGTTCCGTATTAGTACAATATTTTGCTCATTTACAAGATTTTAAGCATTTTATACCAATAGCTTGACAGGAAAACATTATAAAATGTGTACACGATTGTTTTTCATAAATTTTCTTACAAAAATACATTGATATTTATTCCATAAATAATCAACTTCATTAGCCCAATTCCATTTCACATGATAATACTGTCTGATAATGGAATGTTGATTTTGTTACAAGAACGCTATGACTACACTTGGTAAAATGGATAGAAACGAAGAAGTATAATAGTATAGGACGGTACAATAAGGTTGCGATACAATATATTAAAAGATTATAATCTTTTGAGGGTTTCTTGAAAGACCCTCAAAAGTGTTTTACATATTTTTAATGTTGGTGACATCACGACAGGATTAGATTACCTCGACGCAACTTTTACTTTCCAAAGTTCTGCCTTATATTTGTCACCATTAAACTAACTAAACAGCGAAATAATGGTAATGACATGTAAATCATATCCTATGAAAAAAGCAAATAAGAGTAAACATTGATTCTGCCTGTGCGGTCAGCTTCACAAAGGAATCGGTGTAAATAGTCAGTTTTGTCTAACTTCTTATTTAACGAATACAACAGTGATAATTCAATGATAAGAATGGATTTATGGTCCTTATTTTAAACATTACTTCGGCAAATATGCCATCCATGTAAAACTTGTCAGCACATTAGCTTAGGCTGCCCCCCTAAAAAAACGGGGGGAAAGGGTACGCTCATGATCATGAATAAATGTCAGTTCAATTCAATGATGATACTGACCGTCATTACACGTTCATAATGATTTAACCCCCTCCCCACCCTCCCTCCCCCATTAACAATATTTCATTATGTGTGCCATGAGGGAGGGGGATGTAAACTACAACATGTCGTGATTTATAATATATTACAGTTAGACTCTATATCAAAACCAATTGTACAACCAAATAAAATCTATCATAGACGTTGGTAGGAGGCATTTAGCGACAATCGACGTTTCTTCGTGATGGACACCACTATGGTAGCGACGATGATCACCAACATGACCCCGCCTATGACTCCGGCAATGATGAGGGTTTGTTGAGAGAGTGTTTGGCCTTGGTCTTGGTCTTGGTCTGTACCGACTGCTGACTGGGAATAATCATGCTGTAGGTCCCCCGGCATGCTGTTAACATTGGTGTAGATATAGGGAAATTCCTATATGAAAATCAGAAAAAGATATAACAAAGTCAGGGCCCATGTCACACACAAAAAAAAAAATATATATATAAAAAAAAATTATATACATATATACATATATATTTTAGAGAGAGATTCTATTCATTTAATTTGGTAGTATTCTTAAAAAATTAATGAGCTATATCTATTTTGTGAAATCTGAAATACATTGTTCATTACTTTGAAAAAGAAATTCTCCCTCAACATTTTACTGCCGTCTTCTTATTTTCTTGCATCTCCCATCTATTTGTTGCATTCTGTATTTTGACTTATCTGATTTCTCTTTCAATAATCCTATTATACTGTGTATATATATATATATATATATATATATATAAAATATGTTTTAAAAAGGTAACCTTATAGCAAGGAGTTATTATAGTCTTCATAAATCTTTCTTGTGCTACTGCACTGAGATGAATACAACAGCCTACCTTTGATGGACAATTCAGTTTTTCACCCGGAAACCATTCTACACGCTTGCTTCCAACCGGTTCAAACTGTAAAAGGGAAAGAAGGAATATAATTACAAAAAAATTGTAAAGACAATGTGCAGCATCCTGATTAAAATGTAAGGTTCAAATTGATATGTTTCATTCATAATTTATAAAGATATGTTGGCATGAATGGCATACACAATACACGCTCCAGACAGAAACAAATCATTTTGAAAACTACTAAACTAATAAAAATCGAAGATAATACGAAGCTATTCATATTGCAATACATGCAATATTTTTGTTTATAATTTGAATGAAGCCACTATTTATAGAAAGAGGAAAACTGTTCACTTGTTCAATTGTTCACAGATTTTCATTATTTTATTCCATTCTTTTATATCGAGATCACATTATCATCCCAAAAACAATAATTTCATAATCGTTTATTGGAACAACATAATGTTTTTTTATAAATGTTATGCTTCCTGGGAGAAATTTCAATCATTTAAACATATTCGTGATTTTTTTTCTGACTTGTTTTTCAATACAGATCGATCAAACGATCTTATTTACTGGGTGTAAGCCACAAATAATGTTTAAATAACATAATGCTTGTAACCACAGATGGCGCTATACCACTTTCTCGTAGAAGGTATGTCCACAACAGTTGAATGTTGAAATCTAATTAATCAAGGAATGAATAGATTGCATTAGTACACATCATACATTATGCGGGTAACTGCTAGGACGCTGTCAAGTGTCTATCTTTTTTTTTTTGACAATTGAGATTAATTTATTCATTCATATATTTGTTTATTACACTGTGACCCAATCTTTATCCTAAAAAGAAATATAAATAGCGTCTGCATTCATTTCCTGCCCACTTAAAAAAAACAAAAAAAACACCAAAGCCATCGCATCAGCACTATAATGTTCGTCAAAATTTCACATTTGTATTTGTTTGTACATGTTTTACATTAAAGCGTTTGTTTAATAATAATAGGTGTGTCGTTGAATATTCAACTGTTTTGTATAGAATATGTAATAAAGTGGTATAGCGCCATCTGGAGTAATAAACATTATATTGTTTCAACAAACTGTCCTGAATCATGTATTATTGGACAGCGATCTTGATCTAGATAAAAAGAAATGCTGTAAATCATTAGAATCAAACGTTTACTGTTCTTCTGTAACAATATTAGGGCATAATATGCTTTAAATAAATAATCACACTTCCATGAACATTTGCCGAATTCGAGAGTTGTATAGCGCCATCTATAGTTAGAAACATTATAGTATGCACAATGTGACACATTGTTTTTATGCCTCTTTTCATTCCTTCTTCTTTTCCTGCAAAAAATAACGGCTCTTTTAATATACTATAGGAAATATAACGAAAATGTGGCAAAGTATTACAGGCATTTTTTTTCTTTTCCCCTTGTCTTTTTTTTAAATTTGGTTATCATAAAACTATCCCACTGACCCCTGTCACTCGCACCCCTCTCTCTCTCTCTCTACCCCCCCCCCTTCTCCTTTTATCTGTCTTTCTGTAATTTTTTTTTCTATCAGAAAAACACAACATCTTCATTAATCGTAACTGTGCATACTCTTTCATTCTTCTTCTTTCAATCTCAAACCACCCCACTCCCTTCGTGTGTTTAAAACTCACCAGTCCATTCCAGTTAGCTGTAGCCTGTGCTGCCTGCCCCTTCTGACTTAGATGGAAACAATCAGGAGCAAAGTAAGAGCTGTCAGGTGACCCATCCTGTCATTGTACAAACAGAGAGGCGTTTGGAATAATTAGAGTAACGAATGGTACAAACAAGAGCAAGGTCACATATAACTTTGTCCAGTGTACCCCCCCCCCCCTAATTTTTTAAATTTTTTTTTAAAAAGGTACTATGTCCCATTTGCAGGCCAAAAAAATGAAAAGGTTAAATTCCAACGGCATTTGAAAGATAATACTACTTTAGAACTTTCCTAAAAAAAGGTGGGGCTTGAAAATGTCTTCAAGTGGGAAAATAACGACTATTAGTTGTCAAATCGACTTAGGAGCTATAGAGCCAATAATTAATAGTCTTGGTTTTCAGACAATTGTACCGAATGGTCATACGTTTTATGCTGCGCAAAGATTCAATCAGTTTAATTTTGCCCATCACAAGAAGTAGGTTATTGGTGTACACAAATGCTCATGTACCCTTTACAGCTCATTTTATGTACGTTATTACCAAAGAAGACAAAAAGCTAGTCAGTTACTCAATAGTGTCTGACAGTGAAGTCTAGCAAGTAAGCGGGTTTCCTTGCATAATTTGAATATTAAGAAACTGATAACATTTAATTTCACAGATAGGACATACATGACATATTCATAATTCCTGCAAAGTTCTACAGAATTTGAGGTTGGCTGCAAAAGGGACATAGTATATTTAATGCAATTTTACCATATATCATTTTAAATAAATTCAAGTAAGGGAAAATCACTCATAATTATCTTTAAATATATGTCAATGTAGCCTTAAGTATTTCATTGACATACAAAGAGAAAACTTGTATAATGGGTAAATCACTCAGATCTAAGTATTTTTCAATATGAACACAGAATCTATGGATTACAAACATTTTCAACAACAATAATACGAATTTGCCGACAGGAATGGCAATTGTCTTGGTATATAATAATTTTATTAAAGATGACAATGAGCTACAGCCCGATATATAAAATAGAAATCTCCAGTTACTTTTTCTTAATTTTGCTAAAATTTGCTCAAAGGTAAACATTTGATGTTACTAGCTATGATTTTTTTAAAGTTTCTTGAGAAGTTCATGTTAAAATTTACCTCATGTCTTGGGATGCTGGTATTGTGAAAGAAGGGTTGATAAACCACGGTGAAGTCTTCTTTGTCGTCAAACTTTCCACTTTCAATATGCTCCTGAACTATTTTCTGTAGAAGAACAAAGTTTACAGATTTAGGCATGGAATTTAGAATAGAGTCTGAGAAAATACAAAAGTATATATAATTGATAGTCTATATTTTGAAGGATAATATACTTGTAAACACTTGATGCTTACACAGAAATAAATATGGAGACGCCTTTTGTTCACAATATGCAAAAATTATTATTGGATTAATTTCAGGGAATTTTGAAGTTCCTTGCTTTAGTAAATTTTCAACTGAAACATTTTGAATCATGAACAGACCTAATTGTTGTATACTTCACCTGATATTCTTTTGCTCGAACATATATTGCATCTCTGCCACCACCTTTGTTGAGACAGCCGCATACAATTCTGTACGAAGAAGACCAAATCGGATGTTTCATACATTGAGTCATTCATTTGAAATGTATGATTATTCTTGTTGACGTCTTACTGAATTAGAAATACATTATTAGTACTATATTGGGAATCGTTTATTTACGAAAGTTTTTTTCACTTTATCAATTATGTGTATCGACAAGAATTAATTATTAAATGTAAGAAATTGTTCAATAAAATCTCAAATGTATAAAGAATTTTTTTTTTTTGAATAGTCAAAACAAATCCAGCCACATAATTTTCATTCCCTCATAGCCCCAAGGTCGCCAAATGTTTGAATGACTTGCTTTCTTGTTTCTGAAGTTTATACATATTTATGAAGAATACTTACGCATGGACGAGGTCACATTTGAGACTTCCATCTAGATCTGGTAGGATGTAAGCATTCAGTACACCAACAAGGTTTACCAGTACTCTCGGTACCTGTCATTAAAAATCACATCAGTTTTTATTCATATAGTATAGTCTATTCAATATTTCATTATTCATTTAGTTATGTGTTTTGTATTTATTTACCAGTAACATATTTTTGTTGATGGCGTTACAAATAAGCAGGTACAACATGTATATGGGTAGGAATAAACAAAGGAATGGATGCATAATTTAAAAAAACTACCCGTCATTGTCCAAATATTTGTATTCTATATAATATAAAAGAAAATAGTCATAACTCTTCATCGGATGGGTGTCCCTCTAACGAATTATTATTTCTTAGATTATATTTCGGTAATTCAATTCAATTCAATTCATTTATGTTCATTCTCCATAAAAACATTAAAACATTCAAACATGATATACAGATAAGATCGATAACAAGAACAATTTAAAGGGAAGGAGCAAACAAAATTTTATGGGAATGTGGGGTTAACAAAAAGGGCAATTAGCCTTATGAACGTCAACCCCTTAACAAATATACACTGTATTGTTGAGAACAGAAAGGCAGAGAAAACCTAAATACCAATACAAAGGGGGGAGTAGAAGGAAAGGGGGACTACATTACAAAGTGCATTAACTGAAACGTGACGTCCTTTTTTTAGCCTGTGGGGAACCTTACAAAGAAATATGGTTAAAGCACTGGAGATACCAAACTTAAGATAAACACAATTATTGAAACATGTAGAGCAAGAACAATTAACGAATATCAAGTTTATTTAGACCATAAAAATATATTCATTAAATGATAGCACCGTCCTTATTCCTGACTTTTTTTAAAATAAAAACGTCACCTCATCATGAAACATCTGCAGTGCTTCATCGATAAAAGCGAGATACTCCTGGGGTTCTGATGTCTCTTTCGTACATCCACTGCACAGGTCGTTACCTCCGATGAAGAGGGTGATGATCTTCCAGTCGTTCTCCATATCAACGTCGGGATGGTCCCGGAGATCGTCGATGAGCTTCCTCGCCTGCTTAGGCAGACCTCTGCGGGAGTTGGGAAGGATATATGTCAGGAAGGAAGGAAAGGGGAAGGGTAAATGTCGGCATGTCAGACCGGAGTTTGTTATGATAACAAGATAACAAGTGGTGACGAATTGTAATGAGGCCGTATAAATAAGAAAGAGGGAGAGAGAGAGAGAGAGGGGGAGAGAGAGAGGGGGAGGGGGGAGGGGGAGGGTAACTCAATGACACAATGGGTTGATTTCATTTCACAGCCCATAATAATAGATTGGAATAGTAGAATAGATTCTTCATATTATGACTTACTTTGCTTTGGCCCCGACGACAGCACGATTGAATGATTTACTCTTGGGTTGAGTGAAGACGATCCCCTCACCGGTAGAATATCCCAAGATATCAGGATTGTACTTTCTTAGGATATCTACGAATATAAAAGGGAAAGACAAACACATATATCATTCAATATTTCATTTCGTTTTCTGATTACTTCTGTGTTTGTTATTCGGAAAGAAAGAATGTAATACCAGGGATAGGTTAAGGAAAGCAGAAAAGAAGGGAGTAGAGATGCAGCGAGGGAAAGAGAAACAAAACAACAAAATGGGGTAAGGAGAGTGGGGGAGCAAATGCGTGAGTAAGGGGAGGGGGAAGGTAAATAGAGAGGATTCATACATTACCCATGCTTATAAAGAGACAATTGCGGCAATGTTAAACATTTATCTCGTGACCAAATTGAGTTTATTTAGAAACAAAAGCAAAAAGACTTTTATGGTTTTATCCGTGATGTCTCCGTATTCCCCTTGTTTTCGCCAAGGGGCTTAACAAATAAACTTCATCACATGATTCACCTGTTCCGAATGCGGTTACCATAAAACAAGATATCTGAAAAATTAATTACGACTCACTTGGAAGTGTTCCAACTGAAGATACACTTTGATCGCCTCCAATACTATAGGTTGGATAACAAAAGAACCATAAATAGAGAGATAGTATTATGATCTACGTAAACCTTTGAAATACCAAACAAGCCTAAGACGGTAAACTTTCCAATTTTACAACGAAACAATAAATTGTTTGAATCTACACTGTTTAAAAATATTCGTAAATACATGTGAGACTTCGTGCTTATAAAGCGGAACTACAGATCTGTTGGGGGAAATTAGTATGGTAAAACCGGTCACTCGAAGATTTTTACTTTTTTGAAGCACTTCTTGATCATTTTGAAGCGCAATTTTGTTTAGAGCTTCAATATTACATCATATCACAGACGTTGATAAGACGTATATAGGGCCGTGTATCTCAGATTTAACATTGTTAAACGATCCCTTTAACGCTTTCCTCTGGATAGTAGCATTGCTTTCCATGAAAACGAATGGTGAATCTTGAATACATAAGGTTTTGCTATATCAGGCAAGTAAATAATGAGCGTCCTTTCATGTCGTCCACGATTTCAGTCATCTATCTTTTCCATCTATTATAATTGCTGTATTTCAACATGGATATAATTATAATCAACCCATTTATTTTTACAAATCAAAGCGGTGTTAAAGTTACCTTGCTGACACACCCCAGTAGTTCAACATTACAGGCAAGAAAATTGAAGCATCAGCAGCATACGCAGTCTGAAATTCGAAAAGATAAAACAATAGTATCACTATCATCAACAGCACTAATATAAGTATGGGAATTTATTTTTCATCAAATTTATGATGATCAAACAACATAATAATAATAATATTCCGCTTTTATATAGCGTTCAATAAATCGATACAACGATGTGCCTAAGCGCTTCACCGATTATTACCCCAGTCATCGGATTCAGGCTTACCTGCACACAATGTATGCACATTCTCCACTCCCTAGGAAGCATTCCAACCAGTCGCCATTTTACAAGCGCACACTTGCTCATCCAACCACATGAACTTTCGCATCCTACCGGGTAGACACCATTATCTGCTACTTCAATCTTCATTATATATACAATTCATCCTCCTACTCCTCTTCATCATCATCACCACCATCACCATCATCATCACCATCATCATCACCATCACCATCATCATCATCATCATCAATCACCATCATCATCATCACCACCATCATCATCATCACCATCATCAGTCACCATCATCATCATCACCATCATCATCATCACCATCACCATCATTCTCCTCATCATCCTTATCATCATCATCACCATCATCATCATCATCATCATCACTATCATCATCACCACCATCATCATCATCATCATCATCATCGTCATTAGCCTCATCATAATAATCACCACCATTATCATCATCATTTCCGAGTTTGTCATCCTCACTATCATAAATAACATCCTAACTGGTTCCTGATTTAACCAGCGTCATAGCCTATATCCTCTCCTTCATCGTCACCATTATGATAAGCCCACATCAAAACTCTACCATATATGAATGATAAGATCTTCTTACGGAAAGAGAGTCTCCAACAGCAGCAATGACATTGAAATCACCCGGGCGAAGTCTATGCACTGGAGAGAATAAACAAATTTTACATAACAAGGCTTCTTAATATTAAAGTAATTAAACAAAAGAGGGGGAAAATCGAAATGCATTGATTTTCCCAGCGTTATTGCCCCAAAAATATATAACTTTGTTACGGTCATAAAATGTCACGAAATACGCCCTCTCAGAAAAATATCTTAAAATTTAAAAATAAATTAAGGCGAGGTACAAGTAGAAAAACGAACTCCCAAGATAGGCAGAGCCCCCTCCCCCCCCCCCCCAAAAAAAAAATATATATATATATACATATATATATATAATATATATATATATATAAATAAATAAATAAATAAATAAAAGAAGATTTGTCTACAACCGCTCCTGATTGTAGTCATTATCAACATTATTTATAACAATGAACTGAACATCATCACACATTATCTTAATTATAGTTCGATGATAGTTCAAGTGTTAGTCAAGGAGATAGCAAACACATTGTATGGTTAAAATGAAAAACTATGACATGTTGATATCAGGAGAATTTAAAGAAATACATTAAATAATATTCACCTACATATGTCATCTTATCTCATTTTCCAATCATATAAAATATTTAAGCACAAACTTTATGTGATCTCTGCTTTTGCTGGAGTTCAAATCCGATCGTGAAAATGATAATAAAATTAATGTATACGTATAGATATTTACAAACAAAAACAGATATGAAGTCCAGCTAGGTTTGTGGCTTATCACTGTTCAATACTTTACCGGGTATAACATTATAATCAAAATGTTTTGAAACTCTTTATGATTGGATTTGGTTTTGAATTCCCAAACTTTCAAAAACCAGCGTAAATAATTAAATCAAACCAACTTAAATCGTTATGGGTTTTGATGATATGAATTACAAACCTGATGTTGGTTTTTCTGGTGCCACAGAGGACGGACAATCGAATTCTATTCCAAACTAAAAATTGGAAAATAAACAAATAATGAGAAGAGAAATGACAATTGCAGTGGTAATTATTAGATTAGAATTTTCATTTCAGCTTGGGTCATGAAACCTCATTGAAGACTACGAAATTCCCTAGATCATATACGCGTACGCTTTGGGGGAGGCGGTGGCTGATGGCTGCAGAACTTGAAAACTCCCAATAAACGGGCAACCGACAGCCTATATTCGGGTAGTCTTTTCTAGTTTCATATTTGTATCTTTATATTATATTTCTTCGAAAAATCCGCTCATAAATTTGTGTCCGTGTAATATAATTTTTTAGACACCAATCAAAGACTGCAATTCGCTTTATCTTAAACACTAAACTACTTCTAATAAACTATTTATCTATCTTCTTGTGTTATGTGTTTATCCCGGCCGAGTTTGAACTCGTCTCTTTTGGTATACTGTAACCACTTGGCAACAATTTTCATCATCACTTTATTTTTAATAGAGGGTCCTCTCAATATTTTTTTAAACATATTCTAACGATTTCATAACCTTCCATATATATTCCGAAACAACACTTTTAAATCTCGTATATTTTCGGGGGGGGGGGGGGGTTATACGGGTCCTAAAATACCTGAACGAAACTCACGACAAAGGCAAGATAATAATATTGAAATTCTTGCCAATAAAATGAACTAAATGAAAAATTGTTATATATTATTATGTATTTATTTTCAAGACCCAGTTCAGTTCAGTTCAGTTCAGTTTATTAATTTTTCTCAAGCATAAAAACAATATTATAATATATACAAGAATGGTAAATATACATAGTAAGAGAAAAAACGGAAACTACAAAAAAGTTTATAAAAACTTGTAAGGAGTAGTTCCCAGTAAAGGGAAAAAAATACATAGTATTAACAATTGCAATAACAAAATACAAAATTATGCAGATTAATCACTAACGCACATCAACAAACACCAGCAATCATATGGGGAGGGTTGGGGGGGGGGTAATGGTAATTGTAAATTTAATGAAAAAAAAATTGAATAATTATCAATATATACCCTTTTCAACTTTTCTTTAAATGAACTTATATTTGTTGAACTCTTTATTTCGTCTGAGAGATTATTCCACACGCATGGACCACTGTGTCTTAATGGGTTAAATAAAAACTCTGTATTAACTTTGGGATAATGATTTTTTTTTTTTTTTTTTTTTCCCCTTCCACAGGGTTCTTTATTTTCAAAACAAATTTCATCATATACATCATATAATAAATGAAATTTATTACTCGAGCGAGTATTGTGATAATAGACCGATCTATTTATGGTGAACATTTGGGAAACATTGCAAGGAGTAATATTATGGATTGTACGAAACATTACTAATGCTATTTAAAATCTATGTATTTCATATATATTTAGGGTTTTTAAACGGAAGAATAATGGTCGGGAAAGGGATCTAAAGGAAGATTTTGTACATATTCTCAACATTTTCTTTTGTAATTTGTGTAACGGTTCCAATTTCGTTGTTCCAACATTCGCCCAAATAATATTACAATATTGAAGATAAGGTAAGGCTAGACAATTATAAAGCATATACATTTCCTTTTGTGGTAAAAAATCACGAAGTTTACAAAGAATTCCTAGTTTTTGAGAATTTGCTAGATATAGTGGAACGATGGCAATTGAGAGATAGTTCGTCGTCTAAGGTTACTCCTAGAAATTTGATTGTTTGGGAACAAATTAAAGGGATTTGATTCATAAATAATGTTACATCGGAAATATCATGTTTTATATGTTCTTTACAAAAATACATAACATTAGTTTTATCAACATTTTTCGAACCCACGCTCCCATTGTTATTGCCTTACAGACTTGTTTTTTTTTTTAGTTGACAGATAGTATAAGATAAATTCTGTTAAATTACATCATAATCAGGAAATAGCAATTCAGACTGTAATATTACGTAACTTTGTAAGCCTCTTCGTGATTAGCAATAGTTGGATGGAGGGAAACAGACTAGGTAGTGGGAGTTTTGAGGGGTGTGTAATCATCGTTAATATAGTCCAATTAAGATATATGTAAACTTTTTACATCTTTCTGATTGTTTCCGGTATACGGGCAACTATTTCATTTTCCATCCACATTGATGATTTATATTCTTGTTATAGGGATATTTTAAGACATCACGAAATCGTGACCATGGGAATGGAAACTTATGACGTTCAAGAAATTTCGAATAAACAATAGGATAATAAATAGCTTATGACAGGTCAAATTTAATTGATATCACATGATTGCAACTTATCATACCGTAATCATTTAATTTTATTATTTGCAAGTGTTTTGAAGTACTACAGTGTGCCATAATCACAACTAACAAAAACAGCTCAAGTGTCCCTGCTTTTTGTTTCGTATTCTAAAAATAAACCGTAAGATGTATTTTTTGTGTTCCAATACATGAAGCAATCAATCATCAATGAGAGAGAGAGAGTGTTGGGTCAAGGAGGGGTGCTGTTGATTCGAAACCAATAATTTATTCAACATGATATTCAATGCAAATTCATGGAATAATGAGCGCAATTACACATCAAGACATACTTGGATTCAGTTGACATTAACAAAAAACAATCGTAGAAAGATTTATGATTTTGTCCTCTGTGTCCTGAATCTTTAAACAAAAGGACGGTTTTTACAGCGATTTAATTGACATATTATGTAACTTGATTACATATCCAATACATTATTATCAGCATCTTATCCTTGGTTATCATCCTTCTCTGCTAATCTACGAACAAAACTTAGTCTCTGATGTCACGTGAGGTGTCCACATGTTGTTCACAATTGTTTGAGAACAGGGAACAGTGTTTGCATTCACGCGGAAAAGCAAGTTTAGAAAAAATGATGTACATAATATTTCAGATATCCAAGTTTCGAAATGGTGTAATAATAACTTGTTGTTGGCCGGTAAGGAATCAGTCCTATAAAGTCTACTCTTGGGTTCAGAATATTTGTATTTCATAATTTTATTCTGTATTTTCTTACACTATACCTAAGAAGGAAAATACATGTAATGCGATCTTTAACTGATTAAGACCTCGCGGTACTTTAAAAAAAATTAGGGCGGGTCACTGATTACAGTCTTCGTATAGCACCTTTTTATCAGTATTCATAACGTAAGAATATATACGTATTATTAATATAGATTTGAGTGTATGGCTGTCACAATTTGTTTTCCTTCTTCAACTCGGCCTGATTGTTTTTATCTTTGCAGGATTGATCTTTGTATATTTGTTCATTGATACGAAGCTGTTACCCTGGATAGTCAACTTGTCAAAGTTCCATCGTAATCTCAACCATCATGATTGCTTTAGTTTATATTAAAGGCCATCAACACATAAAGCACAACAATAAAGGAATTCATCTTAATGTATACAAGGTGAGTCTTTTCGTGAGGTAAAACTTTGACAGGAACCCTGACGAACACGAAAGGAAAGTTAGATCATGTTAGAACTGTTTTTTATACAGATTTAGTTTTCACCCCTCATAGATTTCATTTTATAAGAAAACTACTCAGCAGTATTATTTTCCTCGTCATTAACTGAGAAATCAGATGTATTGCTTCATAGGTCATATCTTTATGAGATTGGTATCGAATAATCCCTGCTAATTATTCTGTGATCCTATATTCCCAAATCTTTACGAAGCCTACAAATAAAGAGCTTGAAAGATGTATTTCACCTCTGCATGAATGCACAAAATGAAACACAATGATTTATCATTATCCCTTTTCCGAATAAGTACAAGTTATGCCATTGAGCTGTAACACACGGCAAAATAGCCTTCTCTCAGAAAGTACGGTCATTCTCAGCCTTTAAAGTTATCTTTAGGAGGTAAATCGCGCAGCCCGTTTAAATCAGATAAACACCTATGAGTAGGAACAAACTTTGGTAATTAATATAGGTCATTTGAGCTTCTTCAGGTCTTGAACTTGATAGATCTAATCACTGAAGATTATTCGATCGACAAAGATAGCCAAATCAAGGCCCTAATTGCATGAAAAGTTGCGTTTAAATGCACAATAAATCAATCAAATCGAATAAAACAAATGTAAGTCCTAAATATGCCATTCTGATTAGTTGAATCCCTAATTGCATTTATTTTTTTGAGTTGCATTTAAGCGCAACTTTTTATGAAGGATGCCTCAGGATCTTTTATCTCAAACATAACTACAGCATCATGATCATTTAAATTTAGGGTCCGCTCGCTATTCATAAGGACCGCTATTCGAAAGGACCGCCATTCATAATTTGAGAAAAGGGTAATTATTCAGAAGGGTCATTATTCGTAAGGATCGCTATTCATAATGGAAGAAGAGGGTCACTTTTCATGAATTTCGCGTATTATGAATGGCGACCCTCAATTTTATGATTAGTGACCCCCAATGTAAATTATGAATAGCGACCCTCATTTCACATTATGAAAAGCGGCCCGAGTCCATTCTAACAAAGCTTGACTATTTTATAGATTTCAAAGACGCTTCGATAGAATTTGAATTTGTATTGAGATGCAACTCTTATCAACTTCTTGTGACCGCCATTAAGAAGGAGCTTCAACATAAAAATATAATTTCTGTCAATTATTTGTGTCTCCTTTTTTTAAAAAAATCAGACGGATCTCAACAAGTAAACAAATTGTCCCCTTACCGATTCGGTCTCATACTGATCATGAGTAGTTTCACCGACGTGGCCAAGATAGAGATGGAAGTCGTTGTATACCTCATAAAGTCCACGGAAATCGTCCTCAATGTCTATACAAAATGTGATCAAAATATGAAGTGTAAACTGTATTGTATTGTATTTATTTTCCGTCATTTAAAAAACACCAACAAATATACATTTACAATGATCATAAAGACACACTTATATTAAGGAAGACGAAGGGGTGGCCCTACGCATTAGGAAATGAACGTGGTTATTTTGGGGGCTTAGTTTTTTTTTACATTTGGAATTGTATTTCGTGTCATGTATTTTAGTTTATAAAAGAAAGTCCTTCAAGAATTTCACAAAGTTAGACAAAGATGTACCTTTTATGATTGCGATACACTATATTCTGCCACATCATTTTGATTTTGAATATGATATTTTCTGAAGAGAAATAACTATAGAAAATACTTATCATAAAAAAAGTTACATCAAGTACAAAAAGTACATGCTTTGTATCTAATGAATGAGCAAAATTGAAATAAAAGACATTCGTAATAAATTTAAATTTGGTGCACTTTTCTTTGTCAACAACACGTTCATTTGTAACAATTTATAGTTACAATGAATAGACCATTTTTCAAAATGTATTAAAAATTATTCACGTTTGCCTACCGTCGATCTATTACAATCACCTGTTGTTGTTTGTATGTACTATCTCAATAGTCAGAATGCTAATTGCATACATTGTTTGTTGCTATGTTGGACAAACATGGTACTACCTAGCGGCACGTAATGTATGCAATTTGCCTTCTGTCTATTGAAGTACAATTATTCGTAACAGGTAAATGAAATAAGTCGTATCGATAAGCTTCACAAAGACGTCTACATTTGATTTGGTTACATTACGAAAATGGCCTATTCATCGAAGCTAATATTGGTAATCAGGAATAATTTATGGACAATTCGAGTTGCTCCCGTGGTTTCTAAATACGTAAGATAATGGTAGAGATAGGGAAACTCCCCCTCCATTTAAAAAAAACTTGACCAGAAGTTCTTGAGAGTGAAAGTTGTGAAATAAAAAGAGCAATATGAAAGTAATCGATGATGTACAGAGAGACCAATGTTTATACAATATATTAAAACAAATTTATGCGGTTAATGTTAATTATCAATTAGAATTTGACACCAGTATCCCTTATTTCTTTATTACACAAGATAAATCTTATCATGACCTTGCATGATGGACAAAAGCAACCTAGTCTGCTCGTAATTCTTTATAAAAAGATGGCACCATTTGTTGTTCATCCCGAGATCGGTTTCGTCGTTGCAGTTTAAGAGATTATACGTGTTAAGACACGAATAGACATTATAATATTTCTCTACTTGCGAATGGGCATGATGATTTTGCAAGTGAATAAATACATCTTTACGAGGGAGCATAGTCCTATACTTAATTGATACAGGTCATACTCAAATAGCATGTAAGCAAATATAAACATTGCCAGTTGAGGAAATGAAAACTTGAGTTAACGTCGTACACCAACTTTAAGGCTCAAGCACTTTGAATGAGAAAAAATTCAACTCCAATTACATGCATATCGAAACTATACCCACGTTATTCATTTTCATATTATGGTAGGGCATTGAGTAGTGTACAGAAGAGGAGGCAACGGTTGCTAAAATATTACACGGTCTTTACATTTGTAATACAGCATAATTATATTTTAGACAGTTAGACACCCCTTCGTGAAAATTCCCCACTGATAAAAACACTCAAATGTGAGCTCACTCCAAGGGCGCGTTCATGCTTGATTTTGACGGCCAGAATCAGGCATCTGTTACGCGTTTAGTTTAAAACACGGTTGCGTCTTAGCTCACTTTTGTAGAATCACCGAAAAACGGCGATCACGATCGCCGATCGTAAACTCACAAAAAGATGCGTTTACAATTTGTAAACGCGTTTAAATGGGGTCAACGCACTGACCTCTAGTGGGTCTACGTAGCATGCACAGTGAAGGTTTGCGAATCCAGCTGGAAGACCAATTAAGGCCACACACTGAGAATTGCCTGGGGGAGCCAGAGAAGTAAGCATGAACAGTGCATCGTGGAACTGCGATCACGATGAGCGTTTACGATGAGCGTTTCAGATCGCTCATTCTGCCTTCAAAATTTAAGCATGAACGCAGCCCAAGTCGGTTGAACGACGCATGCTCTGGCGAAAATTTCGTACATTAACCTAAATCTTAACTTCAACCCTGAAACCATTCTATACTATGCCAAACCTAAAACACCATCGCAACCCTAACCCAATTTGAAAATTTGACGAAATAAAGCCTGGATCAATGTTGGAGAACCGCCCCCTGCCACCGACAACTGATGAGCTATTTTTCCCGTTTAATTTATGTATATTTTTTGGTTTGAAAAACATTCAAACGTCAAAATTAATGCATCGGTATTTATTTGAATCAAGTAATCAAGTCATCCACGTAGTTAACTGATTGATGTCACGAATGTTTGATTCAACAAACTGTCGAGATGATTATAATCATCTATTCATCATCAGTCAAACCATTCAGTCAATAATACAAACTTTTAATTATTTGAAGGAAACTACCTACCTCCATTCACCATCAAAATCGCCGATACAAAAACCCAAAGCCAAAGAGAGGCCATCTCTAATTAATTGTCCGTCTTCAACTCGATCTTAGACCAGTTTGTCAGAGAAATCGAACATAAGACATCGAAACTGTATTATGTGTTCCTTTCGATCTGACAACTCTGGAAGCAATCTGACCTATACGAGCAATAGAGTTTGTCTTATCCATAGAAAATCTTCGCCTCCTTCAACTCGCGTGCGTAATGACGAAGAACTCAACGAGCGAATGGCGTTTATTAGAGTCGGTTATTTTTAGCAGATTTAGTCGGCTTGGCTCAGGTATTACTAGCTGCTTGGCGCGGTAAATGACTAGCGTGATTATTTGAACACTTATAAATCTTCGGGTGAGTTGAGATTCATCTTTAAGCCTTTCTGCTTCATCTTAGCAATCGGTAATCATGTGATCGGCTTATACAAATGGAATTAAACTCATTGAGAGTGGGGGTGCCACGAAACCGTTAATATAGAGAACAAAGAGAAATTAAGCAGGATTATCGAGAATTATTGTATGTAATTAAAATCAAAGCATTTTTTAAAGATTTTGCGAAGGTCAATGAGATGGCTGTCATTTTGCTTCCTTTTGCCCTCTCCCTAACACAAAAATACAGGGGAGAGGTTTGCCGTCGTGGCGCAGAGAAAGAAATGAGAAGAAAAAACGAGAGAACGAGAGAGAGAGAGAGAGAGAGAGAGAGAGAGAGAGAGAGAGAGAGAGGTGTTCAAAGGCTTTAAAACAACTATCTTTTGTTTTTATTTAATCGAATCAAAGTCAGTGTTTTTTTATCTTGATTTCCATTATTTTCTGTTCAAAAAATCAAGACAGTTTCCAATTTCGATTCAATTCAAATCAATAATGGTTCTTATTTGACATTGCTTTCCAGTATTCATGTTTTAATTAAAAAAGCGCAATTCAAAGTTTAAATGTGAATCATGTTTATCTGGTAAATTTAACGATTTCACCTCAATAGCAATATAAACTGCAATTACGTCGTGAAGACTTAATCCATTGTCCATGAATAATAACCAATCAAAATGTTGGTAAGAAAATTCTGCAAACTTTGAATTTGAATAAAATAATTTGATCGAAATCTTGCCAGTTTTAAGTTGAAGTGTCATGGGAGCTTATCTTTCTCTTTTGGTTGAGTGAATATGGCTTACTAGTAAATGCTAGGTGAAACCAGGAAGGTGAACCACTTCATTTTCTATTCAAATCAAATGAATCAACCCCCCCCCCCTCGATAACTCCAAACCAATCATAGGATGACTGTGCCTTTAATACTTAACAGTACTCCAGTTCAATAATTCAAATATTATGTAAAGACAATATACAACAAACTCTTCACGGAGACAGAAAAAGAGTCACGGCTTTTGAGAATAGGAAAAACGCCCTCTTTCGAAGAAGAAGGAAAAACAAACAGTAAACTAATATGCTTTTGAGAAGGTCGGGTCCAGTTTGTTTCGACATAAATTTTTGATAACCAGGGGCGTCGCTAGACCTTTTTCAGTGGGGGGGGGGGGGGGTGTAGAGGCCAACGATTACCGACAAAAGTAGCCACCAATTACCGACAAAATTAAATTTCCAATATCTACAAAGTCAACCCTATAAACCTGGGGCCGAAGGCTAAATTTTTTTTCCTATGGACTATCTATAGTACTTGCATATGCGCAAAATGGTCATTTTCCTCGACGACATTAATATACGAATTATTTCTTAAATTTAGTCAGCATCATAGCTATATATTTTAATGCAGGCGCGGAGCTAGGATCTTATTTTAGGGAGGGGCGGTAGTGAGCAAGAGAATCACTTAAAAGCGCGCTCATAAGGGGGTGTGGGTGATCAGCCTCCCGCGCGAAGCGCGAAAGCTTTGACGTTTCATTAAATTATGAGAAAAAGCAGACGATTCGGTGTACTGTTCTCGACTATTAATCCTAATCTGAATGAAGCTTCCCCCTCCCGCGCGAAGCGCGGAAGTTTTGACGTTTCATTAAATTATTAGAGAAAGAAGACGATTCGTCGTACCGTTTTCGACTCTTAATAAGCCCTACTCATCTGAATTCAGTTTCCCCCTCTCGCGCGAAGCGCGAAAGCTTTGACGTTTCCTCATATCATTAGAAAAAGAACACGATTCGTTGTACCGTTTTCGACTTTAAATAAGCCCTATTAATTTTGTCTTAATTCAGTTTCCCCCTCTCGCCCGAAGCGCGGAAGCTTTGACTTTTCCTTACATTATGAGAAAAAGCAGACGATTCGGTGTACTGTTCTCGACTCTTAATCCTAATCTGAATGAAGCTTCCCCCACCCGCGCGAAAGGCGGAAGTTTTGGTTTTATTAAATTATTAGAGAAAGAAGATGATTCGTCGTATCGTTTTCGACTCTTAATAAGCCCTATTCATCTGAATTCAGTTTCCCCCAAGCTTTTACGTTTCCTCATATCATTAGAGAAAGAACACGATTCGTTGTACAGTTTTCGACTTTTAATAAACCCCATTAATTTTGTCTGAATTCAGTTTCCCCCTCTCGCCCGAAGCGCGGAAGCTTTGACTTTTCCTTACATTATGAGAAAAAGCAGACGATTCGGTGTACTGTTCTCGACTCTTAATCCTAATCTGAATGAAGCTTCCCCCACCCGCGCGAAAGGCGGAAGTTTTGGTTTTATTAAATTATTAGAGAAAGAAGATGATTCGTCGTATCGTTTTCGACTCTTAATAAGCCCTATTCATCTGAATTCAGTTTCCCCCAAGCTTTTACGTTTCCTCATATCATTAGAGAAAGAACACGATTCGTTGTACAGTTTTCGACTTTTAATAAACCCCATTAATTTTGTCTGAATTCAGTTTCCCCCTCTCGCGCGAAGCGCGGAAGCTCTCACGTTTCCTTAAATTATTAGAGAAAGAACACGATTCGTTGTACCGTTCTCGATTACTTTAAATAAGCCCTATTAATTTTGTCTGAATTCAGTTTCCCCCTCTCGCGCGAAGCGCGGAAGCTTTGACGTTTCCTTAAATTATTAGAGAAAGAAGACGATTCGTCGTACTGTTCTCGACTCGTCTAAATGAAGTTTTCCCCTTCCGGGGTTTCATCACAATATAGAGAAAGGAAGACGATTCCTCATACCGTTTTCGAATCTTATTGTTATTAAGCCCTATTCATCTGAATTCAGTTTCCCACTTTCGCGCGAAGCGCGGAAGCTTTGACGTTTCCTTAAATTATTAGAGAAAGAAGACGATTCGTTGTACCGTTCTCGATTGGTCTAAATGAAGTTTCCCCTTCCGCGCGAAGCGCGGAATTTTTGGCGTTTCATCTCAATATAAAGAAAGGAAAATGATTCGTCGTACCGTTGTTGACTCTTTAACCTTGTTTGAATTTAGTTTCCCCGAAAATTTTAAACCTCTGATTTCTTTAGCTGATATTATAGGAAAGTGAAACTTCGAGAAAATACAAGTATTGTAGTTGTAGTCACTCTCGAAGTCGTCACAGCGGATAAGAAGTCGCAGTTCGTAGGGAAAAAAACTTGTCGGTCGACCGACAATATACATCTCACCGACTTCAAACTTATGCATTGATGAGGATCGAGCAAGAATACCGACACAGCTGACCCGACACAGCAACATATTTACCCGTGTCTTTCTTGCTCCCTCGACGAGACGACTCCACCCAACAACCCCCTTTTCTCTTTTACTCCCACTTCTCCTCTCTCAGACTCTTACCTCCCCTCTCTCTCCTCTCTTTCATCCCCCGTTTCTTTTGTTTCCCTTTCACTCTTTTTTCTTCTTTTTTCCTTTTCTTTCTTTTCCTTTCTTTCCTCTCCCCCCTCTTTTTCTTTTTTCTCTTTCTTTCTTCTCTTTTCTTTCCTTTCTTTTCCTTTCTTTTCCTTTCTTTCTTTTCTTTCCCTTTTCTTTTTTTCTTTTCTTTCCCTTCCCCTCTCTTTTTTTCTCTCTCTTTTTTTCCCTCCCCCTTTTCTCTTTTTCCCGACGGCAGCGCAATTTTACCGACAATATCCTGACAGGTGGGGGGGGGGTGTCGCACCCCCACACCCCCCCTTTGGCGACGCCCCTGTTGATAACTAGATGAATAGGACAATTTAGAAGCTAAGTTAACTGTTGAAAAGTACCATGCACTATAGGATATAATTATATTTATGACAATTTAGTTAAGTTTAGAGAGACAACATTAGTAAACAGGGGCGTAAATCCGTACCGAGGAGTGGGGGGGGGGGGGATGATCGGCGATAGCTATCACATACTACACGCCAGGCGCGTACGCAGGATTTTTAACATTTATAAACCGGGCCGAAAATTTCGCAACGACTCAGCCGACCGCTGAATAAGCGGGGAGGGGGGGGGAGGGGGGTTGGAGGACACTTTTTTTTTGGGGGGGGGGGTCTCCAAAAAATCGCAAGGACTCAACCGACCGCTGAATAATCATTTTTTTTCAGGGGGGATGATATCAGGGGGTATGTTTGTACAGGCCATCCCCCCCCTACTTCAAGCCAGGAGGGGATGCAGCCCCCCCCCCCCCATCCCCCGGGATTTACGCCCCTGTTAGTAAGGCTCTACTCGTCAGAATCATGTGAGAATTAAAGGGGGAAGAGGCGATCACGTATATTCGGAAGGAAATTTTTTTTTCTCTATAGACATAGACTAACTTCAGTAATTTAAGATTTTAAATCAAGAAACACGAACATTTTCATATTTTTTTAACAACGGAAGAGGGTGGAGGGTTAGGAGTAGGAGAGGGAGAGGGGAGGGAGGGTACGAGTCCGGTTGAAAGGGAGGGTATAGATGCATCTCACCCCTCCCGGATCTCCCAACAGCAAGATCTCTTTTCAATTATTTATAGTGGCTTCTTTTCTGCATCATCTGCAATATAAACCGCAATTACGTCGTGAAGACTTAATCCATTGTCCATGAATAATAACCAATCAAAATGTTGGTAAGAGAACTCGTACCCTCCCTCCCCTCTCCCTCTCCTAACCCTCCACCCCTCCCCCTCCCCCCCCCCCCCCCCCCCCTCCACCCTCCCCCTCCCCCCTCCCCCCCCCCCTCCTTCCCGTTTCTCCATATCCATGCCGATCTTTTTGGGGCAAGTCATGCTGTTTCACCACCCTCTGAGATCCACCGAGCGTGTTAACCCAAGTAGATACCAGCTGCACTGTAATAATTCCTTGGTTATAACATGGAGTCCATGGTTTTATAAACCATACCGTGAAGTTATCGAGGAACGTTAGAACTTTATCATTATTATGGCTGCAGATTTACGCTCATGAATCATGATCACCCTGTGTTAATCCTATACCTACAACGACGCTCAACGGTACTGGCCCTTTTCTAAACCTGTCATCGATTTTGGACAATAGGCCATTGCATTCCTTTATATTTCTTTTATAATAAAACATTATGTCACAGGGTGACCTGTATCTGTGTTCTGAGCACAGCAAAGGACACACACGTGAATGAATGAGGTTATTGTTAACTATAGAATGCCCGAATGGCAGAAACGGCAGCATTTTCTTTGAGCTGCAGCTGAATCTTACAGTGTATACATACGGCGTTGAACGAAAATGGGGACTTTACCGAAATATTTCTTACTCGTGCTCCTCGTTTCCAATGGTTTACTGCTTACACAATGTCGGTCCAGCAATCGTAAGTACACAATGTAGATAGAGAAACAAAGTCAGAGGATATTGTATGTGTCATCAATGTTCAAGTTTCAATTGAAGAGATAATAAAGAACCAGATTTTTTTTCAGATAGAGAGTGAGAGCGACGGACAGTCAGTGGGATAGAAATAGAGAGAGTGAGAGAAAGCAATAGACAAACGGACATAACAGACAGAGACAAGACAAACAACATCAGGAAGAGTTCGCACATGCTGCAACTATTAATTCTCATACTTTGTGTTTACTAGTTGGTTCATTGTTCATGTTTGTACTTTCATACACTATAAACCTATTATCGTTTGTATCTTTGTGTCATTATCTATGTATAATGTATGAGAATTGTATTCATAAGTCATGCATTGCTATTTATACTTTTAGGTTTGTTTGTACTCTAGCAGGATCGTACCCGAGAGGGGGTCAAATAGTCAATAACATTCTAAATTATAATTCTAAATTCTCAAACTAAATAAAGTTTTATCATAAAGTCAATCAATGTGAAACTTTCAATCATTGTATGCAACTAGGTGAAAGATAATGCAATCGAGGACCTGCTATGGGGCAATATTTGTATATATATAACAATATTTTGTGCGCAACTGACTGGAAGAAGTTCATGCTAGTTTAGCTTTTACAGCTTACAGCTAGATATAATATTCATCATTAGGAACATGGTAGTATTTTGTTTACATTGCGATGATGTTTTTTGTGTTTTCAATTCAGATACAAACAATATTATCATTGAAGTCCATTGATTAATCAGTCGCGTAGGAATAGCATGCTCATGTTTTCAAAAATATATATGTTATTAATAATAACTGTTATTAAACACAGTTCTAGTGCCAAACAAGGTTCTACACTCTTATTTCCACGGAGTCAGATTTCACTCTAAATGGCGTCAGCTGGGAGTCAACTCTATTCCGAGTTAAAGTGACACGGAAAAGGAGTCATCTTGACTCTGAATTGAGTCAATTCTCAGCTGATGCCACACAATCCGAGTCAAATTGATTCGGAATCCGTGTCACTTTAACTAGGAATAGAGTTGACTCCCAGCTGACGCCATTTTTGACTCCGTGGAAATAAGAGTGTATTGCCTGGTGGGATATCAAAATAGCCAGTTACAGCAACAATGACAGGGAAAGGTCAAGGTCAAAGTAACCGAAACTTGTTAGTGGTATATAGCTCTATGCTTATATGTAAGCTAGTTGACCTTGTACACTCGTTTTATACACGGGAATTTGCGTTTCGTAATTTCGTATACATGTATGAAATATCATGTATACACATGGAAAGCAAGTTTACGAAGTACTGTGAGAGAACGTTCGACGTTTCAATACGTTTCTCCACAAGATTACACTACTACACGACAAGTTCACATCTTGTATGCTTGCTTGCTTATGAGCAAACTCAAAAGTTCGTGCACTGTTTACTATATAGAGTAGACCAACACAATCATATTTTGTGCATGATGTTCACAATTCAAATGGCAGAGCTGTAATCCATCTTTTTTTCTTTAACAAAGGGTAGTAAGTGTATTAAAAGATTATTCTAAACGGACTAAGAGCAACGAGGAATCGGATTTCGAATATTTCTAGATTTAAACTGTAATCTTCTTTACATGTCTTTATGAAGCTGCTTTGTCTTGCATGGACAATTTTTCCTTGACCAATACAAAAAGAACCTCTATTCATTGATAGAAACAAAAACACTTTTCATTCAAATAAGGAGCCCGGTATCTTCTGTATGCAATGATACCCCCCCCCCCCCCACCGGTGCATCAAGCGCGGATTCAAGCGAGGGAACAACCGGCCCGTGCCCCCCCCCCCCCCCCCCCCCGTCATTGGCGGTTACAAAAGAAAAAAGAAAGAAAGGCAAAAGAGATAAAGAAAGGAAAAGAATGAGAAAAGGGGAGAATAAACTTTTAACAAAATCCTAGGTATGGGTTACAGCAGAGGTTCTCAAACTTTTTCTTTGACGGTCTAAATGCATACCCCTCTCTATAGTGACAAGGTCTCCCTTTTCATACGCCTCTGTCAACCATTTCAAGAATGGATGTTTATTCAAGAAGTATTTTGACTATGATTATGTGGTCATTGTGATAATATAGATATCGAGTATCGATGAAAATTTGTCTTCTATCTCCTTCTTCTTGATTTTCATCATCAGGTACTGCCGACTATTTATTGAAGATTCAAAAGGAGTTTGAGAAATATTCAATCAACTCAACAGAAGAGCTTCTCGTTTCTCGTAATGTCGACAAGGTATACATTATGTCTGATTTGTGTCTATAGCATACTGAGTATGATGTCGCAATTAAACAAAGTAAACAAAGAGTTTAACATTTGGTGCAATATTATACGATTTTTTTTTTAAATAGCCTATAGTAACATACAACTAGTCGTTGGTACAAATAGCCGCGAGCAATCGTCATTAAAGTCTTCAAACGCGAACTCATGTCATCGAAATTTAACATAATAATTGTGGACTTTATGCTTTGAATTCATTATCTATGCCATATATTTTTCATTACAGGTCGGATCCAACTTTGATTGCCCAGCATCCGTTTCACCGACAGTACCAAAATCTGGTAAGAGAAAAAAACAATACAGATATTTAAATTGCAAGATAATATTCATAATGCATCGATAAAACACTTCAGATGTGTATTTTGGAAGCATGCTATTTGTTAATACTTTAAAAGATGAGATAATATTTAGGTTCATAATTAATGTCTAAAGATCCACAACACTGAAATTGACTCCATCCATCAATTAGGTCAATTAACGATGGCGCCATCATCACTTGGAATTTGCCTGCGTCTTGATGCAGTCCTAATAATATACGCATTATAAATTAATCATCTATAATAAATAATGATTTCGATTATCATTTAGTATCATCACTTTTCTTTGTCACTTTTTATATCGCTTTTGATTTTGAACGGCGGATCCAGAATTCCGTGGCTGGTGGGAAGTGGGGCGGGGGGTACAACGGGCAGAAGAATGAATAATGTAATCGGGTTTTGGGTGTGTCGTTTTGGGTGTGTCGTTTTGGCTACAAAATTATCTGACTAGCATCAACAACAACAAAAAACATCATCATCAACAACAAAAGTCATCATCCCATGATCTATTTCCTTCTCGTTTTCCCTCCGTCCTCCATTTTTATCATGGATAATTATGCCACTGTTTATCAGTGTAAAAATACGAATAATCATTATATGAATCCATAAGGTTTACAGCTCCATTTCTTGTATCCTCTCTAGTCCATTTACTGCGGCCTGGAGACATCAAGGTCGTCGGTGCTATAGGTGATTCTTTGACGGTAAGATGAAAATCAATCAACATCGACGCCTTTCCTTTTTAGGATTACAATCACAATCGTAAATGGAGTTGGCTTCAGTAGATGATGTGATTATGTTAAATCGTGGATTATGATCAAGTACGTATTTTCTTTACACAAATAAGATATTCGTAAAAAAGGTGAAAATGTTTTCAGAGGCAATCCATTGCTTTCTCATGGTCTATAACTACATCAAAGGGTGACACCCCTTGCAAACAAGGCTGTTGGCGCTAACGACGACGGAAGCACGTTTTACCAAACCAACTAAACCAAACCAAACCTCTAGGGCAGTGGCGTATCCATCTCTGTGGGCGTATGCAGTAAAGGAACGACCCGCAGGCATTAATATTTAACAAGTTAAAAAAAAGAACCCAAACTGTTGGACCCCAGTAAATGATTGCATTATGCTCCTTTGAGTGCAAGTGGTATACGCAATAACATCAGGGTGCATTTAAATTTAAGATGTAAATTCATGGTAATGTCACAGTCGAAAGTTAATTGTATTGTGTTTGTCTTGTGTATATAGGCGGCGTATGCAGCGGGTGCTAGCTCCTTTTCACCGCTCAATTTCGAGTACCCCGGGGAAGCAGCCAGGTAACTATTTTTTTTTACAAATTATTGCAATGTGATCAAGGTTTAGTCATATATTTCTGACCGATTGTTCGACACAAGAAGTATCTTTAAAAAAAGTACTTTAATGAAATGTTTGGATAATAAATTATGTGAAGTGTATTACAAGAATGATTGATATAGACCGTTTCGCTTTTTACTTAACACTTCTTACTTATTGCCTCCCCCTCTCTTTCTTTCCCAATTAACTTGTCTTTCTTTTGTAGTATTGGCGGCGATAAGACGTTAGAGGAGATAATTACACTTCCTAGTAAGTATTGGTTTCAAAGACATATCATTAAAACAAGACAGAAATAGTCCCATTAACATAGAAGCCTTTACGGTATCTTATAATTATTTACAGAATATAAACAGCAATTTGTTTTATTAAACTCTCACAAGAACTTGAACAATGCAAATATTTGTTATTTATTTTCCCATATTGTAATGGCAAAATGGAAAAGGAAAATTAACATCTTCCCCTTTCATCTGCATCACTGCAGCAACAAAATATGGTTGCCTATTTGGCCTCTTTTTAGAACTCTCTACACAAATTGCGTTACCAACAGTCAACAGATTTGCTTTTGTATCTGACATTTTTCTTCCTGTAATATATATATATATATACCCCAATAAATCTTGCGAATTAGAGTTGAATTTGTTGTGTATTATACGTGTAGAAATGCCTTGTACTTTTCTCCTGCAGATATATTCCGAAAGTATAATTCTCACCTGTATGGCTATTCGACTGGACTCTCAGTGCCCTTTACCCAACCATTCAACAAAAGATTCAATCTTGCTATCAGTGGTTCTTATGCGTCGTAAGTACGCCTGCGTTCTCTCACACAATAGTCTTTTTCCGATGATGGTAATTGTTGTTTATGCTCAAAACGATTTAAAACCTTTTTTTAAAGATAGGATAAGTTAATTCTGATTCAAAATAAAATATCAACATTTTGCTCGCTCTCAAAATTGAGAAAGTTTGTTGAAAGTTGATATTCATTCGGGAAAGAGACACGTCAGCCCCTCTTGACGTACGCTATAATGACCGTTAGCGGTTAATAGAGAATTCGTTTGGAATTTTGGAGTTTGACATTAAGAAGCATTGTGTTATAATGATCGCAGTAAACGTTGTGTTTTTCTCAAGTATTTTTTTTAATACTTTCAGGGAAATGCCGGAACAGGCTCGAAATCTGGTCAGATCGATGAAGAACGATCCGACAGTCGACTTTGAGAACGATTGGAAGTTCATTACGGTATTTATTGGCGGGAACGACTTATGCAGTGGATGCCTCTACGTAGAAAGCTCTACGGAGCAGTACATCAAATTCCTGGAAAAGGCCATCCAAATATTACACGATGAGGTATTTGAATTGTAATGTTGGATAGGGTGTGCATAGGTCGTGAAGGCACACAGAGATTTACCCCTCGTTTTGTTAAATCATTATATTTCTGGGGTGGTTTTTTTTGGTTTAAAAATACGCATTATACTCGTCTGAATTTCACCTTTAGAACTTTCTTAGGATCCTTATTTCGTCATCTAAAAGGACAATCTAATTATAAATGATGTCTTTGATACCACAAATCTCGATTGTTAATCATAAAGGTTTTATAAGTGTATCTATAGATCAATTTTATTTCTTGGGGTAAAAGGGAGTTAAGGGAAACATCCAGAAGTATTTTATTGGAGGGAGTAAATCCAATGGGATTTTTGTTGTTGTAATTTGAAGGGAGATATCCATTGTTTCGTATGAATTGTAAAAGCATATCGACATTAACGTTTTCGTTCCACTTTGTTGCTCGGTGACGACTGTATGTTTTACTTTAATTCCAAACAATCCTTCTTGACATCTCTCAGAGTATTAACATTTAAGATTAATTTCATCTTATGCTTCTCCTAGAAATTTTCAGAAAAAAATGTTCTCTTTTTGTTCTCTCTAATAAAGTGCCCCAGGACATTCGTCAATGTGGTTGGAATAATGCAAGCTGGTCAAGTTATGGAGCTGCAAGGTCCATTGATATGTAACTTAGTGACCAGGTAAAGTTCATGACTGTCCTTAAAATCGTCATCAGTATCGGACAATAACTAAACATCTCGCTTGATTGAGTTAGTAACCATCATATTTTACCTTCATGTAATGGCCCAGTGATAAATTTTCATTCCTGAGATGAAGGTGACTAATATGAATGTAGTATCCAGTAGAACGAAATACTGATGAAATTTCATGTTTCATATTGGCAATGGAGTATTCTCATCAGTGATCGGAGTTCAAGTTACGATCGATTTGGTGTTGACAATTTAAAATTACAGCAAATGATTTCTGATTATCATTCATTATTGTAAAATTATTGGCTTACAATAATTTTATCAAGATTTTAGATTTCTCTCGTAATTCTATTTTATGTACTTTATTTCTTCTTGTATTTCTATAACTCTGTTTATTTTGTAAATGATTCTTTATCTACATTGGTGGTTTGTTCTTCTTTTTTTCATTTAAAATACAAATCTTGTTTTCTTTTGTTTCATTGTCCGCACTTCTCCGCTTGCATTCGAATTTGTCTGTCTTCCATGCAGTGCGTTTTGCCCCTGTGCACTGGGAGGGACAATTCCACAACATTTCGTGTACCTCAAGGCCAGGGAGTACCAGGTAAGTTGGATAAGTATGTCCCAATATTTTATAGCATGGGCATCTTTAAACGTTACTTCTATCCCGGACTTCTATAGTCTCATCATTATATTCAACAGCTTTCAAATAAGATACTAGATAGATAAGAACATTACGAAACCCTGTATGTATTAACGGTCGTAGCGTAGTACGATAGTATGTTATTTGTGATTAACCTGATCGCAAAGACTTGCGAGATATCATGTCAAGGGTAATCAAAAAATCGCTGCCTTATACTGTAAATGCCATATAAACCATGCTCGGATTAGTACAGAAGTACTTTCCTGTCATGTTCGCACGTTATTCAATAGGTGATGTACAAGACTATTTAAATTGCCTAGCGCTGGAGCAATTTTTAAAAAATTGTTATTCTCCCTATTACTATTATTACGATTATTTTCTTTTTTGGGCGTATATTGTTTTTGTTTGATGCTCGCCCATCAAAGCAGTATTCGCCATATTGTGCCACACTCGAAACGGATTGACCAAACTCTCCTAATCAATGACTCTGTGTTGGTTGTTGGGGATAGGTACTTTTTGTGGGTTGATGAGATAGATCACGAATTGTGTCCCATTATCATTTTAATATTATTATCCAAAGGCGTATTTCGCCCAGCTTTATTATTACATACCCCCACTGCAGTTCAGTTTTCTGCTCTTAAGATGTAAGGATGGTGATATATTCCAATTTCTCTTTTTTCCGGATGCTGAAACAATCAAGGCTTAGTGTGTAAGAGGTTTCACGACTGACCTTGCAGAAGTAATATCATCCATATTCACTCCACTGTTAAAATACTGAACTAAACAAAAAATAGAAACGTTTAGGTTTTTTGTGTGGGGGAATACCTGTATACAATGATTTTGATTGAATCTCTTTAATCAAACAGCGACTTCTACGCACCTCAATCGAGAGTGGGAAGTATGATGATAAAGATGATTTTGCAGCCGTTTACCAATCTTTCTTGGAAGATTCAGAGATACCTAGACTGCCGGTATGTTGTCTTCTTGCATGTTATTTTTGTAATCTTTTTTATAACGGTCAATTTGAGTACACGTATAAAAAAAGAGGAGAGGGAGAAGAAGAAGAAGAAGAAGAAGAAGTAGAAACAGGTAGAGGAGAAGGAGGAGGAGAAGAATGAGAATAACACTATGTAGAAAGAAGGTGAAGAAGATGAAGTAAGGAGGTAACAAGAGAAAAATTAAAATTAAAAAAAAATAGTAAAAACGTGATTTAAAATTACACCGAGAAGTTGATGGATCGTAGGAAAGGAAAATAATTATTGATATATCATTCGAAAATTTACTGTTATAGAACTATTGTTATGAGCACATCATAGGTTTGTTGTTGAATCGCATTTTGGGGATAAAATCTAATAGTTTTTGCAATGAAAGTAAGGAATAGAAAGCGTGACAGTAATATTATGAACAAGAAGGAAAGCAAAACGGGAGTTTGCATGACTATCAATTTAATCGTGAAACTATCTTATATATTTGATCTTTCTTTCTTCCTTTTTTGTTCTCCTTTTCGTAGAATGGCGATGTCGATCGTTCATTCTTTACCCCAGAGTGTTTTCATCTTAGTCAGAAGGGTCAGGCTGCTCAGTCCACGGCTAACTGGAACAACTTGGTAAATAACTATTTCACTTGAAACATAGCTGAATTAATACATCATTTTGGTTTTCTCTCATGATGATATTCACTACTTCGACACGACGATACAATGTGATTAACGTTTGATATTTCTAGTTTTTGTTAGTCACTGAATTTAACTCTGAATTTCTTCTTATGAGCAGGTATGTAGTAAGCGTATCATTTCTATAGAACCATTTAAGACTCCAAGTTAATCGTAAGTTAAATCTTTGATTCCTTGCATTTTATTAATATGGACTATATCGAAGCCATTATTCATATTTTTAGATTCTAGGTACATCCCAGGATAAGAAGAATTCCTGAGACATAGTATGCTAGATTTCAAATAATTATATTTCATGATATTTCTTACACCATAGTTTGAACCCGTCGGATCTAAGGATACCTCATACGACACAAAAGAAACCATCAACTGCCCTTCCCAGGTAAGTATTGTCTACTAGAAATCAAATAAACTGTCGATTAACTTATTTGTTGTGAATAAATTAGATATTTACATTGACAATCACCCTATTCATTGACATTTTATTCAGAACTAAAATGTAAGTATTGTATTGAAGTATTTGGGGGAAGTGGTGGCTTTAAGTATAGTAATGAAAGGAGACGAAGTATGAGGGAGGGATTAAAGTTTTAAAGTTAAGCTCTTATCGATGACCTAAATCTTGCTGCTGCAAGATCTCCTTATAGTTTCATTCGTTCAGAGTTGACATTGTTGAATTAATTTTCATCTTCATCGCCACTCTAGAAGGTTGCCAGGCAATTTCTCTGCCGAGATCCGGGCTTGATTTCGTCAGATACGGTGAGGGTTAGGGTTAGGGTTGAAATTTAGTCTAAGATAGGTTTATGGTTAGGGTTAGGGCTATTTTTAATTCAGGGTTTAAGCTAGGAGTTTTATTACAACTGCGGATCAATTATTGTTACCGGAGCATTAAAGTCTTACAATTTAATGTCTATATCATTCTGTGTTCTCTCTTTATATTGTACAGGACTTTCCCTACCTCTACACCAACGTCAACAGCAAACCAGGATTCCTTGCCAAGATTCAAATATCGTCCGTGGTCGACAACCAGATACCTAAGACCAATACGACGTCGATGTCGAGACAGCCAAGTGACCACGACATCAACACTATACTACGGAGGCTTCCGTGATCGCATAACCATCATGGAGTTGACCCCTTGGCCTCTATCAAGTATATGGATAGGCGCTTATTAACCAGTGGTGTTTTTTAAAAAGAGATGATATATTTTGTATTTTTAATTTTATATTTGATTTCATGGCCAGTAAAAGTTTCTTTGTGTAACAATAGAAAGTGGACCAAAGATTAAAAACAAAGAAACGTTGTTCTACATTACAGTACTTTGAATGCATTGAAAATGATTGTCTTTAGACCAGATTTAGTTGTTGTTGTAGTTGTTATTTTGTTGTTGTTTTACAATTTCTTATGGACAGTGGGGAAAATTTTAAACAATATCTAATTGATGTATTGGACATGACCACTTCTGCAAAAATGTGATTGCAGACGATATATATTAAGTATTTGTGTGGTTCACCATTGGTTTTTGTATATATTTCATAATTTTGTTTGCCCGGGGGTTTTGGTTTTTTTTCTTCTCGATGGCCTAACGAATTTGAAACCCATTCGATCCGTTTACCTTGATATGGGGAAAGGACATGTCCCGATTTATGAATCCCTTCATTTCGTTAAATCACGTGTAATTATGTTTAAAAAAAAAAATAATTACACGTGCTTTAACGAAATGATGTGATATTAATGTTTTATATGTTAACATGTATCTTATCATAATCTTATACTCCAGTCAAACCGACGAGGTACTATTAACTGACCCCCCCCCCAAAAAAAAAAAGAATGGGGTCGATCTTTCAGTGTGACAGGGATTGGTGCTACGCCATCACAGGACAGTCGATGTCGGAGTTTAGATTGCCTTAAAACGAATGGCTCATAATTTAATGTTCAGTTGTGTCAAGCAATATTTAAAAAAACTTTTTATCTAAAAACAATTCGAAGACCCTACAAAAGAGTAGGTCATATATTATGTTCAGTTTCGTGGTTTCGGGAGTCGTAAAAACAAAGACGCGTATACCCTTTTTAAAGCTTTTTTAATGGTTTTAATGATAAACACCGATCTCAATAAAACACAAATCAGCATTCATTTTAAAGATAGATAATAATAATTATTTTGCATATTTCTGTTAGTAGTCCAGAAATGTAATGAATTAACATAAAACCGCTATGTATATTCTTCTTTGTTTAAAGCAAAACTGAGTCCTGACGATTATAGAATTTTAACCCCTAATTTGCGAGATGTGTACTGTTTCGATAGATGATTTTAGTGGATAAATAAATCTTCATGACTAAAAGTTAGTATAAGCTACTTAATCCTTTTTCACTTGAACTCGTATTTTTTGCACGGTTGCCTGGGAAAGAAAAGTGAAAACAAATTGGTCATGTATAGGCCTATAAATCATTATTATTGTCAGTAACAGGTTGTTACATCTCAGGTGATTTTCGATATGATTTGTTACCCGCGTGAATCTTTTAGACGGAAAAGAAAGTTATGGAGCGAATTCTTTGCGACAATCCTTAACAGTGTATAGTTGTTTTAATGACTGTTTTATGACTTCCTTCCTGAAGAGCAATATAGAGTAGTCATGTTGAAATGCGTTCATTTTTGTTTCCTCTGGGTTGACACGTATAATATATGAAATTTGTAACGTTATCGTAAACAAAGAAGGTCGTATTTGATATAACCTGTTGAGTTTTTAAATACTAGCCTTTGAACTATTTTATTTTGCACATTGTACCTTAACTGAATAAAAGGAAATATATTTGGGAAACTATAATAATAATGTGCTGAATTAGTTTCTGTTATATTCAGCTTTTTATTTTCATTTTGGTTGAAATTTCGAAACAAATCTAGTCAGTATGAGTTCTATTTCTCTCTCTCTCTCTCTCTCTCTCTCTCTCTCTCTCTCTCTCTCTCTCTCCTCCCCTCTCTCTCTCTCTCTCTCTCCTCTCCCCTCTCTCTCTCTCTCTTTCTCTCTCGCTCTCTCTCTCTCTCTCTCTCTCTTTCTCTCTCTCTCTTGTCATACAGGGCTATTATGACAATGATTAAACAAATGAGAATAACATCTGTTTTTGGAACATGAATGTGAACACTATCATGTTTGTAAACAGCCCTGACAATGAGGGATATGCTTTAAAGCACCATAATAGTATACATAATAATTATAGGCGAAGGGATGGAATCGTTGATGGGTTGTTTGATCTTATGGATGATCATGCACGCGCGGATCCAGCCGGCGGCAGGGGAGGGGGCCAAAGAGGGGGCCCAATTCGTGAGAAAATATTGAGCTGCGAAACAGCCAGCCGGTGAATAAGCGGGGGGGGGGGGGGGGGTGGGGTTGGGGTGGGGGGGGGGGGATAAGAGGCACTTCTTCTTTTTTTTTGCCCCCGAAAATTTGCAAATCGCGCCGGCCGATAATTCGCTCAGTGGGGGAGGGGGGGGGGGGGGTAGTGGGCACTACTTTTTTTTCCCTCGAAAATTTAAAACTCGCACCCCCCCCCTTGAGCACCAGGGAAGGGGGTCCGTGTCCATATGAAGGTAACATTAACGTGTGTTTACCTGTTTTTCCCAGGGGCCCGGACCCAGGCCCCCTGGATCCGCCACTGTGATCACGTGTGGTTAGATGATCTGATACCAATCCTTCGTATTTCTTTTCCTTTTCTTCCTCTCTTTCATGCCGCTAAGCGCCATTTCATATTTCCTGTTTCCCACGGCTTTATTTCGGTCTGTCGTGAATGATCTGGATTTTAGTTGATTATTAAATCATCTACATGTAGTTCTTTAGTGGTGGGTTGAGGGTCGACAAAATTATGTGGAGGTATTAAACATGGTGTTATTGTAGGTAATGGTTATAATTATTATCGTATTCGGTTTATATTAGTATACGCGTCTTACTGCATATTCATAACCATAGCACATTTACTCCAATATTAGTAGAAAAGGGGCAATAAAAGACACAAACATAGCCGTACGTGTGTAAATTTGCCAGCCAATGGGGGGTCGGGGTAGGGGGGTTGCCCGAATCATATTTTGAGTTTGTTTAGTCTTGACACTTTATTTTAGGCATAATTATATTGGACAAGTAAACAAACCCACATTGAATAGACCACAACAATGCGTGGAAGTATGGCCTTTCATCAGTGGTGTAATGAGCAAAAACTTTTTGGGGTCAGAAGAAAATCCTTATCACCACCAGTAGCATAACGCAGGGGAGTGAAAGAAGTGAAAATGGCACTTCTTGCACCTGAAAAGGGACACTCAACAGAAATGAAAAGAGGCATTTCTGAGAATGGAAATGGGGAATCTGTTGAAGGAGAAAGGCACCTAACAGATTGTAATAGGGGCATTTATTAAATGTTAAAAGGCGCATTTTGAAAAGGGGGAGGGACTCATATGAAAAAAAGAAAAATGGGCACTTATCCGAAGGAAATATGGTACTTATTAGAAAGGAAAAGGAAAATAAAAGGAGCACTAATCAGAGGTGAAAAGTGGCATTTAAGAGAAAGTGAAGGGGCTCCTTATTAAGAAGGGAAAAGTATACTTATTAAAAAGGAAAAGGGGCACGCGTCAAAGTTAAAAAAAGGACAAAAATATCAGAGGTGAAAAGCAGAATTTGTCGCACCTGAAAAGACGTACTCACCAGAGATGAAAAGAGAGGACAGTAATGTTATTAGAAAAGAAAAGGGCACTTTTCATATGTTAATAAAAGTGTAGTTGCTCGTAGTGGTAGACAAACCAAACCACGTGATATTTTAGACTTATTTTTATAACTTTAAACTGTATACTGTATACTTAGTATTAAGCTCATGTTTATTGTGTTTTAGAAATATAAAAATGTATATTTTGATTGATTTTTTTGATTTTTTTATTCGACAAGCTTCCAATATACAACAATATACAATAATAACAGATCAAAAATAAGTCAGCTTGAACAGGATAACCCACGAAAGCTCGAGAGCTTATTTCCAGTGGGGTCCCTTACAGACATGTATACAATTAATAAATTAAAATAGTAATATTTACAGACAGATAAGAAAATTAAAAGAACTACTTATTAAAGATAATAATAACAACATTAAACTGATGATAGAAATGATATTAAGTACAAGAAGAAAAAGAAGAAGGAGAAGAAGAAAAAGAGGAGAAGGAAGAAGAGGAAAATAATGATGAATTTGTAGAATTTCTATAACGTACGAAAACATAAGTATATACAACATGAAAAAGTATGAACCGACAGAAGAATAACAATTTCAATCATATAACATGTCATTCACTTCTCTTCTCTGACTGTCAAGTATTAGGTATTCCTTTAATTTCCTCTTAAAATGATCATAGTTTCCTATTTCTTTTACACTATTGGGAAGGGAATTCCAATGTTTTATGGCATTGTAATAAAACGAATTTCCAATACTACCTACTCTTTCTGGTAAGTTAAAGTTGAATCGTCTATTTCTTGTATTATAATCATGTACGTCAGTAACAAGATCGAAGTTGGATCGAATATAATGATTCGCCCTAGTATGATATATTTTATGCACGTGATGCAATGCGAGTTGTTTTGATCTTTGGTCGACTTCAAGAAAAACCAGCTTTAGAAAGTTCGCTATAGTTGATAAATCTCACCATTTTGTTCTGTATAATCTTCAACTTCTTTTGATCTGACTTGTTTATGTTACTTGTCTATGTATTTTATTATCATATCTGACTTTGTTTTATATATCTTTCTGTATTGTGTTGTAAATATGTTGTGCTCTCATACCCCTGAAGGGGGTCGATAGAGTCAAATAAAATCTTATCTTATCTTACATGTATCTTATCTGTAAAAAGGGGCTTTTTTGTGGGTACCTACGAAGTGGGTGGCACAATATGCCCCCCCCCCCCCCCCCCCCCCCCCACCGGGAGTGGCGCCTCTGGCATAATGGGCAAAAATGAGAGGAAAACCCCGGAAAATCATGTCATTTCAGCAACATTTGTAAATCACTGGTATCGAAATAAAAACAAACCGGCACGTTTTGGTGGTCACCCCCCCCCCCCCCCGACAAACCTGACATGTACTGGTATTTTTAGAATATTTCAAATTTAGTGAATTATTTCATAAACTAATAATTTATAACCCACTTCAATTTAGTTCCACCTGCTAATATTTTATTATTGGTGTCTCTGCACTTTATCCGGAATATGAGCCGACGCCCACTCTCCCTCTCCTCACTCCAATCAAGTGATATGTAAACGTCAGCAGCGTCCAACCTTTACCTCCCCGCCCCCTCCTCGACCTCGGATTATACTGGTACCTCCCCGTCGCCGCGCCGCGCATAGCTCGAGCTCCCGGGGTACCGCTACGGTACGTACAGTACAGTACACACGGCCACGACAGGTCGATACCATACCGCATTGCATTCCATGACCATGTACTGAGCTGAACGTCCACGAATTAGGCGGCGGAGTAACTGTGTGAAGCCATACAACTTAGTGTAGGACATCATTATTTTGTAGAGCTTAGGTTTTAACAGGGTATAGCTACGGGTAAGTACAACATACAGACATTTAAACTATATTCCCAGTATAATAATAAACGGTTGTCATTAGTAGCGTCATGGATTTGACCGCTTTGGTCATTTTCGAGCTTGAGCTGAGTGGAGTCGATCGTCGATGAATTTGTGTTGTTTGTAGGCCTAGGCCTACTCGTGTTTTGCTTGTCGAGTCGTGGCATGGTGTTTATGAGTGACTATGAAATGCATTGGGGAATGTTCGAAAGCGCATCGTCAGAGGCGTAGACAGAAATTCTGTTGTTTGATTAAAGAAGTATTTTAAACATTTAATGATAATCAAAATTTAGGTCATAACCATAACGGATGTTATGATCTAGACTCTATGGCCCGAATTCACAAAGGAGGTTTGTCGACGAACCAAGGTTTTCGTGTGTCATATGACTCGTTTTGACGCGTTTTTACAAACCAGGTTTGTAAAAAACGCGTAAAAACGCGTCATATGACGTACGAAAACCTGGTTTGTCGACAAACCTCCTTTGTGAATTCGGGTCCAGGTCTTTATTTGATTGATTAATTATTTGATTGGTTGATGTTTATTCGCCAAGCTTCAGCTTCCAACATACAACAACGTACAAGAATAACAGATAAAATTGAGTCAGCTTGAACAGGAAAACCCACATTTCACATGATGTAGAGTTGTATGAGTATGATGAACTATGATGGAGGGTAGGGCTGTCAACCCTCCCGCATTTGGAGGGAGTCTCACACCAACATGCTCATTCTCTTGCCATCCCACCAGCTCGTAGCGGGAGACTCCCGTCACCACGCCCTTCCTCCTGCTCTCCCGCAATCTCCCAGTTTATGAAAAAACCTCCCGCCAGACGTGCTCGGGGGGGGGGGGGGGTTGGTAGTGAGCACTTCGATTTTGTTTTTCTTATTCAACACCCCCCCCCCCTTCCCTGTTGAAGCAGTTCACCAAAGTTGACAGCCCTGTGGAGGGGTTGTGTGTACGGTATACAGACGCTCAACAAAAATATAGCTGTCACTAGTTTTGACTTAAGATTTTAACGAAAAAATCAAATGGCACCAACAATCTTAATTGTTAGTCCCATATGATATTGTCTAACACAATTCTTCAAAGATTAAAAAAATAGTGCCGGTAATTTTCTTCAAATTGCTGGTTTAAATTAACTGTCCAGAAACATAACCTCTCTCCGGACACACAACATGTGGGTATACAAGGCAATCTTTTGATTTATGCACATGTGAAAACTGTGTCATTGTCTCTTTAGATTTAGCATGTTCAATAAAATTTTGAATTGAAACTTCATTAATTTATAGAGGGTTTTGATGATTTTGATGATTTTAATTGGTAATTACATACAGTTGTGCCTTGTAAAATGTATGACTTTTATCTATTTACATCATACAATAATGACAATCTCTAATTGATATGACAGCTCGACACTAACAGGCACCCAGCACACATGGGCACCCAAAATCCAAGCTCGGACCCCCAAACTTTGAACTATTGACATACATGTAGGGCCCATGCATACGGACTGTAAAAGGTTTAATCTGAACCCTTTTATAAAAAGTTAGTGTGGAGCCCGGCCCTTGATATGACCATTATTTAATTGAAGACTCTATCCGATGAGGATACACAGGTCTTGATATAAATGGAATTCTCAATAAATGTAGAGTACAAATATAAAGGAATAACAGGTATTACCCTTTCATTATTGCCCAAAAGCAAATTAAAACCTCATTTTCTGCACCCCTCCAAATTACAGGTCAACAGGGGTCAAACTGCATTGTGTTAACATTGCTAGAACCTGAACTAAGCATTGTGGCAATTTTTCAATCAAGAAGCTTTGATTAGATTGATATGTACATGTATGAGTAAATAATAGATTGTATGAATATTCAACTGTCATTTCAGCAAATTTGAAGATTAAAGTTTTGGACATAACATCATAGATGATATTAAATTCAATTTCTCTTCACCTACAGGCTCCTAGCAGAATGTTCACAAGTAGACCGTGTAGTGTCCTGATCAACAGGACACCTTGTGTGGCCTGTCATATATGGAAGGTATCTGTACTGGGGTCATCAAGTAGCCCTCATCCACACCCCCAGTCATCTCATCATCATCATCATCTGGTAGCACCCAGAAGATCCCTGCATAGATCAACATCCACGTTTCCAAGTAGCAAACAGGTGAGATATCCTATGTGTGGCCTGGTGAGTGAGCTGGCGGCGACGGCAGCATTGCAAAGAGCTAATCGTTGAAATGAAATATCCAATATGAATGCAGAAACACCAAACACTCGATACTTGAAAAGAGAGGCCGAATACAAAATTAGAGGAACTTCATTAAATTCAGTTATAAAAGAGAGCAAGATTTATGAACTTCATTCGGTAGCCTATTTCCAAGGGACTAGTTGGAACACACAGCATGGTCAAGTACCCCAACATGTAATCCGATTACAAACCTGTAAGCTTATAATGTATGTGTATATTCATGCTTAGGATATGTCCTTTGAAATATTAAACAAATTTCTGCACGTACATGTAGGTTATATTTCATGGCCGAAAAAATGATAAAAAATTGTTTCAAACACCCTGCCTTCGAAAAATAAAAAGACAAACATTTGGTCATGAAAAATTGAAGTCCTCAATGTGACAATGTGCATTTTCTTGGTAAATGAAATAAACAATAGGAAATTGGATGCTATGCCAGTTCTGTGAGTATTCACTATTTTCAGTGATTTGGTGAAGAATGTTCTTTTCTATTTATGGAACATAAGCTGCTGCATCAGCAGTACCACCCCAATGAACTATTATTTGCCAATGTTGGCTTTATCACGCAAGTACAAAGGTCTATTGATTTAGTTGGCCTCATTGCTGGGTCAGACGTGTGTGTGCTCTTTATGGGGTCAAAATATGGAACAAGTATGGTTTTCTGTAATAAACCATGCAGAATATACATTACAATTCATATGAATAGAAATTCATATTCAGTTAATACAAGGTCATATCCAATGCAGTATGTAAAGTGCAGGGCAATGTACAGTACATGCAGCATATTAAACAAGTAAATGTAATGCATTTTGATTTCATGTTAATAAAATGAAACCGATCTGACTAGTGCGGGTGTCTAAATAATGGTTGCACCATAAACTCAGTTATAATAAGTTTTCAATGTATGGTAAGCCTACAATGTACATGCACATAGTGAATATTGTTCTGTGACTCTTCTGTCTTTATGTTATATATGACATTTATGATTTTCAATCGTATGTTCAGTATTCACAGATTTTTTTTTTTTTGCCTTATCGTTAATGAAATTTCCCTTTAAAAATCGCAAAGTGCTAATCTAAAAAAAACATCTATTTTTATTGCACCACCTTAATTGTATCAAAGTTGATGTACTAGACTAGTTAATAAATCTGGAAATTGAAGACCAGCTGATGCAGTTGAGAAAGATCTCAATACTTATCTTGGCCCGTTTCACTGTGTAATCATGGGCAATCTAAACAGGGCACTCCATTTTTTATTGGAATCTCCTGTCGGGACCTGGATGTTTGCACCTACTCTTGGTGGTCAACATAGAAACCGTGGCATTTGCACTACCAAACATGCTCAAGAATTCCTACTTGAAGACGAGTCTGCGTGTCCAGCTTGTGTTAGTTATCTGATGAAGTACATCTCAAAAGTACATGTGCAAGACAGAATGTACATAGTAGTAGAGAAAATAATATGGAACTCTTTTGCAGGAAGGGTTTGCAAGGAGGGGGGGGGGGGGATACTTATATTGTACTGTATGTACAATGTAAATGTACTGATCATAGCCTCGGCAAAGTTTTATTGCAAAATGCAAATACGTGTACAAGTGCACCTGTAATATTGAAGACAGGAGGATCTTTGTTACAAAAGAAACATAATTATGTGTACATGTTAGCATTTAGAGTAAGTAGTGGCATTTGCTCATCGTGTCTTTTTTCCGACTAAAATCAATCCTACATTTTATAGGATTGCTATATTTTTTTTATTAGGCCTGATAGTATCAGTGCTATTTTTGTTTTATTGGCAGTATATTTCAAATTTATTAGAGAGTACATTTCATAAAATTCATCAAGTCGATCAACAAATTGTGAATGTTGGTTACTGCCTCTTCTTGCGTGCAGTTTGAACCTCGACCTCATTCCCTACATTTTTGTTTATTGATTTCAATTTCCTACAACTGATTGGGAAAAGGTTTGAGGTTTTCAGCTGGATCTAACTATTATGTTCATCTTCGGATGAGCTGCCTTGAATTATGAAATCAAGTCTATTGATTTGGACATTTGAAGGGGAAAACTAATCCTTGAAACACATATTGGAATGTCATGATGGATTCAGGAGTTCCCTGGATGAGTAATATCCAGAGTTAGACCCATTGCTATCATGTGTTCTTTGATGAGTTGTCAGGTTATGTTTTCAACTTGTATAGATTTTCAAAGTATGAAGAAGAAAAAAGCAATAGCAATAAGTATGACTGCAATTTTTCAGATTATTAATTCACAATACACAGGTTATTATAACAGACAGATTATACTGATATGACTTTACTTTGCACTATTGTACTCCACAAAATGTCTACAGTGAATGAGTTGTCAGTGTTGATTTAGCTTCATATGAAAAATCTTCTACCAATAAATAAAGGGCTCAGTACAATCAACTCTTGCCTGCCTCCATTGTCTAAATATGTCACTAACCATTTTCTAGATTGTAAATTAAGATGAGGATGGCAAAAACAGGAGTGATGGAGTATATTGTTTTGAATTCTGTTTTGTTTCAGGCGTCTTCAGCGAAAGTCAAATTCTTTCAAGAAGATACAATACTCCCCTTCTCAGCTTTCTTAACGGATCCTTTCCAGAGGCATCATAATTATCTTAGAATTTCTTTGACGGAAAGGTGCAATTTAAGATGTAAGTTTTACTCTTAAAAAACAGAAATGATTGATATTTGAAATTTGCCTTTGATTAATCTGTGGTGATACATTTGTTGTAGTTTTAGTTGTTTTGGTTATTTTTAGGTAATTTTATTATTTGCAATTTCATCTTGATTTAGATTATAATCACAGTTAAATAGGAGAGGTATTAATACATGTATAAGGTAATGATAATAATAATAAATAAATAAATAATAATGAACTTTATCTCTCTTATTGATATGTATTGAATTTAAACTTTCAGCTTAAATAACTTCATTGAATTTGTAGAAATATTAAAACATAATTGTCTGCTTTGCACAATATATAGGTCAATACTGCATGCCAGAGGAAGGGGTCACACTCTCGCCCAAAGAGAGACTATTATCGACGGAGGAGATCTTACATCTAGCTAAACTATTTGTAAGTGAAGGTGTAGATAAGATCAGATTAACGGGCGGAGAACCCTTAGTGAGAAAGGACATAGTAGAAATCATAGGTGAGTACTTGATTGGATGAAGTATGTTTCATTATGGGAGCCGTATGGTTTAGTGGATCATTGACTGAACATGACTCTCGATCAAGAGGTCACTCAGGGGTTCAAACCTATGTTGCATGTCCTCGGAGAAGATATTTTATCTACTGTTTGACCTTTATGACCCTAGTGTTTGATTTAGTCTTCGACATTCTTTGAACCATATAGTACTGTACTCTGAAACCTAAGCAAATCCAAGTTTTCACTTTTCCTAAAACTTTACAGATACATTTTACGTCTACCTCAAGAACTTGCTCTTTTTCTTTTAGTAAATATCTTTATGTACCAAATGTTCCTCCCAGTCCAAAAATACCATAGGAGAACCTTTTTGATTTTATTTCCAGCCAGGAATTGATTTCTAACATCCATACCTTGCTTCATGTGACATTTAAGATTGGCATTCTCCTTTTCATCTTTTATTCAGAGGGTCTAAGGGAGTTGGAAGGTCTCAAACAAATTGCCATGACAACTAATGGAGTCACATTAGCCAAGAGACTACCAGCTCTGAAGAAGGCTGGCTTAGACTTGATCAACATCAGCATAGATACATTGGTACCACAGAAATTTGAATTTATATCAAGGAGAAAAGGTGAGGGAAATGCTCATTATTTGTTACTCAAGTACATTTCCTACTGTTAAAAAATTTATATTTATGTTTTCCAAAGACTAGACAAATTGTATGGAATTTTATTTCTTATAACATACTTTATTGATGAACTTGGTACATATGTTTTATAGTCAACATAACTGTACATGTATATACTTGATATATTTAATTTTACATGTTACTGCATTTCACAATTGTATCATATACGGGTAATATATTTGATGATAATTGAAGGACTTTTCAAATATCAGGCAGACATGAAGCTCTTAGTTAAACAACTTGAATTGAAAAGGAATCATAAAGGATCATATTTAAAAGCTCTTATAACAGCTGTATACAGGGACAATTTCAATTTGTAGTGCACCTCTCACCACGCCCCACCCCCTTATTATTGTCCTCATATCTATCAATGTAATAACATTTCCACGATTCAATCATAAAAAGATGAGTTGATATGAGCGAGATTCAATCCCATTTGGCATGATGTAATGAAACATTGATTTACCCTTGCATAGCCCATCTGCAGCACTTGTAAAGGTCAATAGAGTTATGAAAGGCATTATTTAAAGGGACAGGGTGGTTTTATTGCTTTGAAATTCATCAGAGTCAAACTTTATTGTAAGAAAATTTAGATTCGCATCCAACACATTCACAGAAAAATTCGCTTCAATCTTTATATAAAATCTCAGGAAATGCAGTGATGGTGAGAAAGTTTGAATTGAATGCAATGTACAACTATTTGTAGGCCTATATGTTTAGCCCTTGGGAATCAGTCATTTAAAACACTAACATTTTGTGATATCAATCAAAATTGAGTTGTAATTGGCTGAAAAATAACCAGGATAAACAGGATTTAGTTATTTCTTTCTATTTGCCCTTTGAAACGTGCATGACTTTTGTGGGAAATGCACTTTAAATACAGATATGAAATTGAAATCCAAAGACATTGAAAATAAAAGAGATTAGTGAGCTCACTCAGATTTATTATTATCATTATTATGTGAGAAATTTTTCCAGCACTGAATATGTAGAGAATGAAAGCCATCACCTTTGGGGGAGAGCAAATGAGCTGAATCAAATTCAATTTCTTCATTCTATTAGGATGAAAATGAGCATCTCCGTGGATGTGCTGCCTCATGGTAAATGTCATTAGTTCACCTTTCAAAGACGTTTACAAATCATTTCCCTGCAATGTGTAGTATATGTATTGATTCAAACCTAGATTATCTCAGGCTCAGAATTCAACTGGTTACTAGAGAAAGTGGTAAAAGATGAGCTAAAATGAGATGCATTTGTTTGTTTTTTAGGATGGCATCACGTGATGAGAGGAATCGATGCTGCCCTGGAGCATGGATATGACCCAGTGAAGGTCAACTGTGTTGTGATGAGAGGACTTAATGAAGATGAACTCTGTGATTTTGTTGCACTCACTGAAGACAAGGTAAGCCGATACAGTGCAAGAAGGTTGTATCTTACCCTATTCTATCTCTAGACTTTGTCACAGACTGTATTCTGACACTTGAGGGCTAACAAAGTACAATGGCAACATTTAAAGGTAAAGCTGTTGAACTTTATTCTAACACATAGTATGAAAAGGAATTTGATGATTACTAGCTCCTACTAACAAAATCTTCCAGTTTTATTGAGAAATCTTTTGTTCATTGAATTTTCTTTGTTATTCATTGCATTGTTTACAATGTTTAATATTATTTTTCAGGGAGGGATTGTCATTTTAGTGTCTTTTGACATGTTATACTGATATTCTGGTCACAGACACAGCCCCCCCCCCCAAAAAAAAATAAAAAATAAATAAATAAATTAAAAAAATACTAGAAATGTCCATTTTGATTTTGTATTTTATAATAGACTCAAATAAAACTCACATGAAATTTTGAAAGACTAAAGGTGAGGTAGACATCTGCCATATAGTACTTTGATAGAGAATCAATAGATATACAGAAAGAGTTTCTGATGTGTGCTGTTTAGGCTATTATAATATACCACGCCCTTTAATATCTTCATATCTGTATTGCCTTTCAATAAGTTTTTATATTTTTTGTTTACATGTTCGTAGTCCGACGAAAAATAACCTTAGTTTACGTAAAAGCATTGCATCCAATGCAGAATGGCTTTTAGACAATTTATTTTGGTATACCGTACATTACCAAAACCCTTGATGACCTTTAACTTGACTATATGAAGACAGTTCCAATGACGATAGACTGTAAAACCTTTAGTGTGCCTACCCTTTGAATGTTTAATGTATAACTTGGATATGATGTTCGCATACGTTAGACAGATCATCTAGGCAGGCTTCTACTCTATGTTGCCTAATATATTTCCAGACTGCTAAATTATGGAATATGAAATCCAATTTGGAGTTCATTGCTTCAGTTATCCCCCAAACCACAATCAGAAGAGCCTTCCAATTTAGGAATGTTAGGATAGATTGAGAAGCAATCGTGTGTGCTTTGCGACCATTACTGAGTTATAGGTTAAAAGCCATGATTACTGTAGACTTGTGCATGAGGAATAGAGGATCAGAAAAGTTTTGAGGATGATATTGAGAAAGACTTTCCGGATTGACGGATGATAAAATGATCCATTTTGTTCAATATTTGTTAAAAGCTCTTTTCATCCTCAGAGCAAACAAAATATGTCGCTCAGCCAGCAGCCTAGATATCTCTGTAAAATGTTTGATGTGCCTGTATGAGAAATTGTACCTAGCATCTACCGGGTAAAGTAATTCCCCCAAAAAGGTGATGAATTGAGCTTTAGAATGTGCTGACTGTGAAATGGGATGTTTCTTGTTGTTTTCTATGGAAAACTATGAAAGAGTGCATATGACCAAACAGGGAATGCTATACTGCCTGACATTTATGCATTCCATTGAAGGAAATTGTATTTAAAAAAGCTCTGCAATACTAGTTTCATTGGCCGATAAAAACCTTAGAAAAAGGTGTCTTAGAGAAATAGAGACTAAATTAATTTCAAGTTATAAAATTAGCATTTCTGGTGTATTTAAAAACAAAATGTGTGTATTGGATAAATGGTATCAGCCGACTTTTTAAACATTTACTTGGTAGAAATCTCTTAAATTTGAATGTGTGGCTGGAAATGGCTGACACTGCTATTTCAGCATAATGAAAGCATAATATGGCTGTAGAATGAGCTCTTGTAACAACATGACGACCAGCATTAATCCATTTCTTATCATGCATCCATGCTTGCATTGCTGGAGGCTGTGTATTATCTCATAGTCATACAGCGCTATAGGAAGGCTCGCTAGTATGATAGCCAATATGATAGCCATATCTAGACGAGGTAAAAGGTTTCATGATACAGTGCAATGTGACCTCTAGCATTCCAAAGAGTTAGAACCCCAGGGAGGGTGTCTACACACATGCACTCCCCCAGATAACTCTTCTCTTCTCTCTTTCTCTCTCTTACTCTCTCTTGCTCTCTCTCTCTCTCTCTCTCTCTCTCTCTCTCTCTCTTGCTCTCTCTCTCTCTCTCTCTCTCTCTCATGGTCTGTTCACACGAGGAAAAATGAAATGTATAAGAAACTGGTATACAGACATGCTGTATAAAGAATCATCGTATAGACTATAGTCTGGTAAAGAAACTGGCTTTTGAAGAGGTCAATTAAAATGACAGCTGATCATGATAAGCTCTGCCCAGTTATAATAGTTTTGTTGCGATATGATTCCCATAAAAAATGGACCCTGATTTTTAATCAAGCTTTCCTTCAAACTCATTCTCAAACCTCTGTTTCGCTATTATACTACAAAATTTCATAATATGACATTTCGTTAGAGACAACCTTCGTACTAGAGAAAACTAATTGTTTTGATCTTATGTTACTTTATATGGTATTCATATAACTATACTGTCTATACAGTGTATTTTGCTAGTCTGAAAGGGGTCTCTCTCGGGCTATCGAGGGCAGTCATCTTTCATTCCAGGAGATGTGGTGTATGTAAACATAGGGACTTTCACATGATTAGAGAGGAGCCTTTGTCCAGCCAGAGAAAGGTCTAGAGAAGGTTGGACCGTAGGGATTCTGTATTTGTCATTATGAAGTCATCTTCATACCTCATCAAGTATCAGCTAGGAACTGTCTGTATGTGGGATGGCAGACTGCACCTGTGTTTGTGCCTACAGTACGTGACCTACTGTACTACATCTACTGTAAATGCATGTGTTAATGCAAACTTGCACATCTAAATAGTACAGTAATGAAGAATAATTGTAATAATAATTGTTCAGGTATAGACTTGAATTTAAGGAGACTTGTTAATTTAAAGAGAATTCTGGTTCAGAATTTAAAACAAAAATTACAAATATCATTACAAATAGGTCTATGGTATTATCTATTTTATCTAGCAATTTTGCAGTCTTCTTCTGTTTTAAACTTCACATCTCTAATACACACTGTCAGTATCTGGGTTATGCATGCAAATTTTTGGAACCCAGGAAGCTTTTTCAACAATGACTCATTTCTGTTGGGACTTTGAAATGGATTTGCCATTCTTTAAACTTAACCGTATAGGAACTGGTAGGATGCTGAAACTTATTTTGATGGAATGTGCCTTGTGCCTTCACAGTGACCATGTTAGGACTTACTCTCAGTGTTTAGGAATACTCTTCTATCATACTCCCCAGGGAGTGGAGAATGCACACCATGGGTGAATGAATCCCATGACCAGGATTAATGATATTTCATGTGCTTTGATAATCTAGATATTGATTAAATATTTATGTGCAAGATTCATGCAAAAGGACATCTTTTTTGTGACAGTATTATTCATTACACTGTTTAAATGGCCCATTGATAAATTGCTGGTAAAAGGGTCGCTTGTTGTTAAAACAGGCTGCTGAGTGCTAACAATCATTTGCACAAAATCAAGAACACATTCTGCATTGAATTCCCAAAAGTGATTAACAAAAGAAAAAAGGATATATAAAAAAAAGAAGCATCATTATTTTTATAGAACTATCATTCTTGTCTGTAATGAAATAATCAATTTAGTAATGTAATATACCGGTACTGTATATACATGTACAAAACCTATCAAACTGTTATGAGGATTGTAACACCCAAATGATTACACAGTCCATATCTAGGCTATTGCTGTCCCCTACACCTGTACCCCATGTTGGACCAATTCTAACGTGACAATATGTGACAACGTATGACCTTTTGAACAACTGTGTGAACTGTATCCCATCATCACATTATTATAAGCTGATATATGATTATTGACAAGTTTATTGACTTAGCTTATGGGTGGTCATCCATGTCCCACTTTTCATCCCATAACAAAGTGCCATTGCATTGGCAAACCAGAGTTTGATTGATATTACGGATATTGATATCGGTCAAAATATATTATATGTGATATTGGTGTATCAAGGGTCGCGCGCACATACACAAATTCTATAGTGTAGTACACCATGTATAGAGGACAATGTAAAAATTGAAATTTTAAAATGCACAAAGGAAGGTATGTTTAAGTAAAATTGATGTTCAGAGAGTTATATATATTAAGAATAGTACAAATTTACTTGATACACAGAATATACCTGTATGTAATGTTTTTGCTTGTAATATAATCTCATATCTTACATGTATGCAATGATCTCTCCCTCTCTATCTCTATCTTTATCTAGTATGCTGGATATAAATTTAAATTATATATGCGCCTTGAGCATCTCTAGAGATGGATATGTTGCGCTTTATAAATATTGTTATTATTATTATTATTATTATTATTATTTCTCTCTCTCTCTCTCTCTCTCTCTCTCTCCATCTCTCTCTCTCTCTCTCTCAATCTCTTTCTCACCCACTTTCTCTATCTCCCTCTTTTTCTCTGCTCTCTCTCTCTCATATGCAGGCATTGGACATCCGCTTCATAGAGTACATGCCGTTTGATGGCAACCGATGGAACGACAAGAAACTCATCACCAAAGATGAGATTGTTCAGACCATTAGAGGGAGGTTTCCCGACTTTGGTCCTATTGATAATCTTCCCAATGATACTTCAGTGGTGAGTATAGCTGACGTCTGTGTGATTATTTTAGACAATAGTAAGATTCAAGTCACTTTGATTTTAAGACCTGTAGAATATACTCAAGCCACATTGAAAATAAGTGACAATTGTTGACATTTAAAGAACATTTTAGCCAAGACAGAAGCTGAGCATGATGTTTTTTTTCTCTTTTCATTTAAGTATCACATGAACTATAGAAAGAAGGATCTCCACGTTTATATCTGTCCATATCTTTTGATAGGTCTATAGTCTATATCAAAGATTTGGGTGTGTGAAGAAACATTAAGATAGTTATGAGAATACTTTAGCAAGCTCGTTTGGCCAGTTGATGATGAAACACATAATATGTGTAGTTCTGCATTTAAATTGCAAACTGATTTTAGGGACTAGCCTTTGAAAATTCCTAACTTGAATCTTATGCTCTAGTCAAGATTGGAAAGCCGTCTGACCCTGTGGTATCATATATGGAAGCATGAAATGTGAAGAATGCAGCAAACCTTTGCATGAAATGTTGCGTAGTGAGACTGCCATTGTAGAGGACCTTTCCTTGCAGTATATTAAAGCCCCACTGCACTACTTATAGCTACTTGTGCCCTCTATATAGCAAACAATGCCTAATCAGTGCCTGTTGGTCCCCCGTGATCCCCTTTTTCTTATGTTAATTGAGAGCTGATTTGATTAGATAACCACCTGTCAGTGACCTTGCAGGGAGGTCTAATCCCTCTGACCAAGCTAGTGCAGACAGGCTTGTCATACAAACAGCCAAGTCAGCATGGAAGATTTGATTGAGTTGAAATGTTTTGTATCTTGTTAGGCATACAGACTACCAAGTAGGCATAGAAGATTAGATTGAGTTGAAATGTTTTGTATCTTGTCTATAGGCATACAGCGTACCAGGCTTTGTTGGTCAGGTTGGCATCATAGCTTCCATGTCAAAACCATTCTGTGGTTCTTGCAACAGGCTCAGACTTACAGCTGATGGTAATTTAAAGGTGAGGAAAATGTAGTAAACACTAGAAAGGTGGGATAAGAAGAAAGGATGCATTAAAGTTTTGATAGCATATTTCAGGCTTTGTGCCATTTTGATTTGTAAGGGAACATATTAAACAAGATGTGCACTTCATATTTTGCTTTTGAAAGATAATGTATTTCCAGATTTTAATCTTTAGCTTTTAAATACACAGTATTAAAAAATCCAGTCTGTTTTCACTGTTGAGGGTATGCCAGAATTTTTGCTTTATGTTTGTTCCACTGGGTAGAGACAAAATTTCAACTTTGCTAGCAAAATTAAAATGGATTTTGTTTATACATCATTTATGTAAAATAATTATCAAACATTAAGTATCAGCACAATATCCACAACAGCACTTGTGAGATTGAATATCTATATATCGTTTGTATGAATTGTACTTTTAAATCTAGTGAGCAGATAAATTTTAAAATAGAATATGTCATCTGGTTAGAGCCAGGAGAGTATTCACTCTATTAAAAAAAAAAAGATTGATCTGATTCCCATCTGGCTATCAGGAAATAAAGTGCTTTGCTAAGTATTGTTCAGCATCTGTATAATTATGTTCTTGTATGTATCAGGTGTGTCTGTTTGGAAGTGATGAGGTGTCTCTACGAGATGCTCTACGGGAAGGCAGGTCAGATGAGGAGCTGTTACAGGTCATAGGTGCAGCAGTTGGAAAGAAGAAAAAGCAGCATGCAGGTAACTTATTAGAAAGGATCATGTCAGGGGTTCAGTGGCACAAAGACGTAACTCCATATTTTGCCCAAATCAGAATTTGATATCAAAATGTTCAGAAAAATGTGGGCGTTCCAGGAAACAAAGACAACTCAATCTAACACCCTAGTGAAACATAGACTTAATTCTTTAAGGCCCAAGTGCTCAGTGACACATAAACCACTTTTTCTCAAAATGGAGTTACGTCTTTGTGTCACTGACCCCTCGATGTCATCTACTGAAAACCAGGAGGGTGTTATAGACAGATTAGAACAAAGTTGTTTAGGGATAGACACATCATCTGCAGATTTCCTCCAAAGACTCTACTTCAGCCAGTGCCTTTAAATATTGTATTAATCCTTGACCCTTTCCTTCAAAAAGGACCTGAAATATACCAACACACTATATCTTTACACTAAATTTCTAAACATCACTAGTAAATAAAATATTACATTAAATATTACATTGAATGCCCCTTCCCCTTTAAATTCACGGATGTCTCTTGAAAGCTGCTATCAGGTGCTATGTAAGTCACTGCCATCTCCATATTCAAAATCACAGGGTCCTGCTGGAAATGTAAATCATGTTACATCATCAAATGTGCCAAGAATAAAAAGATCTTGTGTGTTGTGTTGCCAAGCAAACTCTTACAAAACTTTGTTAATTTGTTACTTTTATATTCTATTTGTATTCTTCAGGTATGTTCAAGATAGCCAAGATGCAGAACAGGCCGATGATTCTGATCGGTGGGTGACAACTTTTCCACAACTCTCTCAAATTTGATCTAGGTAGGATGAGATGATCCCACATTTTATCCTCCGTAGTTCTCTAGCTTTCTACTGTCTATGATTAACCAATGACTCTATTAAAACGGCTCTGGTGTATGATTATACTCACCCATTTTCACAGTGTTACAAAATGAGCATAGGAGGAGCTCTAAAGCTTTAGATGGAATGGATGGAGTGGGTCTTTATTGCTATTAATGAACTCCATGTTTATATGGATACAATTGGAGATTAGTCTACTTCCTCCAGACATAAAGTACAACAGTTTCATTACGAGCATGGAAAAACCTACTTCTGTGGAACCAGGCTTGAGCTTTAGAGCTCATGACACACCCTTTTAATAACAAGCGACATAATTTGTCTTATTTTAATGATGACCTAAAACCTTTGCGGGCAACCATTGTGACACCCCACAAATTCAATCATGAAAGGTAATGCCAGTTATAGTAATAATTTGTAATTTCAGTTGTTTGGAGAGAAAAAAATTCTAACAAGCAAAGTATTTTGTCAGAAAGCAATTGATGCAATCTGATTGAATCATCATTTTCACATGTTAGATCAACTTGACTTCTTCATTTTAATGAGTTTATATCCATTCATATTTCATTTCCTTTCTTGCAGATTCATCTCCTATGGAGATTGGAATGTTGGGCGCACCTCATCACAGAAACCAGGACAGTTTTTATTCATCAAGTAGTGTAGGAAATCAGCATGTGCTTCCAGTATCAATCTTATTCAATCATGGTGCCCGATCGTATAAACCTTATCACAGTCCCAGAGCGAGCTTCCATTCCTCTACAAAGTCCTGCATGGCCAAAGACTCAAGCGATGGAGACCGGTCAAGGTTGACTCATGTTGACCGCTCAGGACAAGCGGAAATGGTGGATGTGAGTGGGAAGGAGACGACGGTGAGAGAGGCGGTGGCATCGGGAAAGGTTCGGCTAGGACGCGAGGCCTTCTACCTGGTCCAAGAGAACAAGATGACTAAAGGAGACGTGCTACGTGTGGCACAGCTTGCTGGCATCATGGCAGCCAAGCAAACCAGCTCTCTCATCCCACTCTGTCATAACATCCCCATTCAGAAGGTGGACATCGACCTCCAGCTGGAAGAGGAGTCGTTCAGTGTCCTCGTCAGGTCAAAGGTCAAATGTATAGGAAGGACGGGGGTAGAGATGGAAGCCCTGACTGCAGTTTCTGTAGCAGCTCTGACCATCTATGACATGTGCAAGGCGGTCACTCATGACATGGTCATTGCTGAGGTCAGACTGGAGCAGAAAACTGGAGGTCAGCGGGGGGATTATCATCGGGAAGTCAATTAGGGAACTCTGGAGATTTGTGTCGACTACTTTAGGTCTACAAAAACGTTATCTTTATGAACTTTTAAAATGAGATTATCTCCTGTGCGGGTTTACGAGAAGGTTTGATTATTCATTACATTAATGATTGAACAGATTTTTGTGGTCTTCTTTACTTGTGCATTGTTTGCAATTACAGCAACTGTTTGACTTTCATGTGCCAAGTTATGAATATGATGATATTATGCAATTGACTGTTAAAAAGAACAGGGGTAATTGAACTATTGACACATTGTGTGTAACTTGTGCTGTATTAGGTGTACTAGTTATGTTGTAATGTTCATGATTACATAGTGTATTTCTATCTTGTTGTATATTTTAATATATATTTGAATATGGCATTGACTTTACATTGGTGATCAAGAAATGTTGTTATCGATTAACTTGAAATTCTACAAACAGTATTTTTCATCCAAAGATAAACACATTTATTTCAAGGAATTAGTATCATACAGAGCATTAAGATTCTCTCAAAATATTTTCAAAGGAATTCTGTAGTATTTTTCAGGTTTTACTGCGTTTTTTCTTTGACATACAAACGGGATCATATTAGTCAGTTTATAATTGTACCCTAGGCTTGACTCAGTGATGGTTCTTGTTAGAAATGTTTGGTGTCTCGGCTAAATGGAAGCACATCATGATTGGCAGTTTAACATTAAGGTCACTTTGTGACTAGGTGTGGTGATACATGTTTAATGTAGCTCAGGATTTCATTTATGGATAGAAAATTCACAAGCTTTTATTTTTTAAAACTTTATTAAATACAAAATGGAAATCGAATCAAGGTACATGATTATTGTGCAATATGATCCCAAGAAAATGATTTGATTTTATCATGACTAATTTTTTTTTTACGTTTCAGATGAAGGCTGTAAAGAGATGGTTTGAATTTTGAAAAAATCATGTCACATGTGGAGGTTTGAATTATTTATCATGTTAGTAAACTTGTTTTATTGTCTACCTGAATGAGAAATGGAATTACTATGATGAACACCAAAGAAGCAGAGAGAGAAAGAGAGACAGGCGGTGATGGTAAATCCGTCCTATCAAACTTTGATCATTACGAATATCAGTGCCTTTCATTATTCATATATCTATCGGGTGAATTGCTGTTTGGTCTACAACCAGTTCGTCTACTACCCAATTAGTCTATTCCCATATGGTCTACACCCAGCCCGTCTACTGTGCATGTGGTCTAATCATCATTTTGTCAACTTATCATTTGGTCTAGTGACCATTTAGACTAATTTCTATATGGTCTAATCTCCAATTCGTCCTTGTTTTCACGAAGTGACGGTAGTGAGGAAAATCGTAACGCAAAGTGAATGCAATTTGTTTTCACTACCGTCACTTCGTGAAAACAGCGACGAATTAGTCTACGACCCATTTGGTCTATTGATTATTTAGTCTAATAACCAGTTAGTCTAATTCCCAGTTTGTCTAATGCCCATTTCGTCTACCATCCATAAGATCTAATAGTCATTTGATGATGATTATTTTGTATGATTATTAGACTATGTGGATAGTAGACGGGCTAAGTATAGACCGTATGGAATAGACCAATTGGGCAGTAGACGAACTGGTTGTAGACCTAATGGTAATAAACCATCTATTGTACATGTATTGAACTGTATCATTGCCATTACTTTGTCTATACCGGTAATCTGCTCTATCTTAAAGGTACTGTAAAGTATTTTCAAGTACAGCAGGTATTACTGGATTTATGGTGGTTGAATTTTGGATTGTCTATTTTGAAAAGCTGAAAGTAATTGGATAAATATAAAGCCAGATGACTGTAATTTAGTGATAAATTTGTCTAAAGTATATTGGAAAGCAAAACTACATTAGTTGTGACAAATCATATCTATGATATATATATATTTTAGTTTTTCATAATGTACGTTGATTACAAACTATGATTTAGGCTGTGTTTTGCACAATCCTACAATGTAAACAACACCAACAACAAATTAGAAAAAACTGTCAATAACATTTATTGATATATTATTTGTTTTGTTATATTGTTGAATTTTCCCTTATGGCAATATAATTTTTATGTGGGTCCAGTGTGTAATATGGTTCCATTGATTATGTAATGCAGTTTCGTGTTTCTTTTTTTTTTTATCATTGAATTTTTAGTCCCATGATGTTGCCCATTGTGGCAAACATTTTTCAAGACAATTTCATTTTGTTGATTTTTTAAAGATTTTATACCACATGGGAATTATTTTACATTTTAAGTTTTGGTTTATTTTTGTTCAAGCATTTTTCGTAATTTGGATGAAAGCAAGTACATGTACTTCCCAAATTATTTCTCAGTTAAAGAGAATTGTACCTGTCCCCCGAACAGCACAAAAAGATGTTTGCAACCCTTTTCTTCTAAAAGTGAAAGTACAATATTATATCCCAAAATGTTATTATAGAACAGATTTTATTGATATATTGTACTAAAGCTTTTTATTTTACTCAAATCGTATGTGTACATTGTGTATTTTATATCCAATATTGAATATTAAAAAAGCCCCATATCTGACATTTTTGTTTAAATTCATAGTGGCTCTCTCTCTCTGGTCATATATATTTGTCATCATCTGGAAGAAATATATTGTTAAGAATCTGTCTATGAAGGCCACCTGACTATAGTGGCCACTCTTTTCCATTGTGTTGGCATTTGTTGACAGTTTTGACTGTACCTGTCAACACTCTAAGTGTAGAGTTGGGGGATATTGAATTATATACTTGTTTAAGATGCCTACATTTTAAGTGCCTTGCATGATAACATATACAGGTTGTAGTACTCATATTTACAGATGGATTTACGCCAGTCTTATGGTTTTCAAAATCTGTACCTGAATGTTGCAAATGTATTGCATGTCAAATAAAATCAAGAGATATAACAATAAGTGAATTATTCTATTTTTTTTTTTTTGTATTTGGCAAGACATTGATCTACATTTACCACTCTCCACCCAGGTGTTAAAATGGGTACCCGGTAGTATGCGAAAGCTGTGGTTTGATTAGCAATGACGCTTATAAAATGGCGACTGGCCGGAATGCTCCCCAGGGAGTGGAGAATGTGGATACCTTGTGTGCGGGTAAGCCTGAATCCGATGACCGGGGTAATAATATGTTCCGCGCCTAGAAACAAAGCATTAGGCGCATTATAAATATGAGCTATAATTATTATTTCATTGTTCAATGTAACAATGTGGTAGATATATATTTAATGTACATTATACTATAAATCATACATATTTCAAAATCATAGAATATTATTATACAAAATAAAATTACTTTTATGAGAATAGCATGAAGACTACTCATATAGGCTTACATCTTACTTATGAATTCATCTAATACAAGTGGTGAAGGTTAAGGCTGTGTTTTTTTTTTTTTTTTTTTTTTTGCTATGGTTTAGTATTGGGGTTCGGTTTAAGTATAGTGTTTGGCCCAGGGACCAGGGTTGAAGTTGGAAATAGTGTGGGGGGAAGTGACCAAGGAGCGATTGTCGCATGCAGAAGCATGTTTGGTAGAACAGCTATAGTTTCAGTGGTAAATCGATACCTCGTGCATGTTATGTGGAAGAGGGGCTCAGTGATAGAAAAAGGTTAAAATCGAGAGAGAGGTAGAAAGAGAGAGAGAGAGATAGAGAAATAGAGAGGAGAATTATAAATAAATAACGTTATACTCGTCCATTCCTTCATATTTATTCATACACTAAAAAAGAAGGTATGATGTGGCATGCGTCCAGTAATGGATCAGCTATTGTAATAGCACATTTGGTCAAATTACCCAAATTGTCCACTTATTTTCTATAATTATGTAGAAAATTACCTGTGTGTCGAAAGTACATCATGGGGGTACTAGTCTTAGGCCTACTCAGCACTCCTCAGTGATCGAAATACAAGTGAACATAGCTGTCAGTGGGATGAGAGTGATGTGGGAGGGGTCCCAGTGGCGTAATGAGCAAAAATATTGGGGGGGGGGGTCAGAACAAATTTAAGAGAAAGGGAATGAGGTTCGTATTACGAAGGCAAAAGTGCACTAATTAAAAAGGGAAAGGGGCACGAGTCAAGGTTTTAAAAAAGGTCAAATACATCAGAGGTGAAAAGGGAACTTCTCGCACCTGAAGTACTCACTAGCTATAAGAGGAGAAGGACAGTTATTAGAAAAGAAAAGGGGCACTTATCAGCAACATTTGTAAATCACTGAATTAGAATTAGAATTAGAAATAGGCCACGCTTTAATTTATTTTAAAAAAAAATTAAAAATAGGTTTTTTTTGGGGGGGGGTCAGCATGCCAGTGGACCGTCCTATCATCCTCATTTTCCGAATAGAGCTCTCCTTCATCCTTTCCTTCCTGTTTCTTTCTTCTCCTTGGCCATGCCATATAAATTGTAAATTCTGCATTGAACCGTGGAGTGTCAAAATGGTATCATCTGCACATTGCAACAGGTTAAGTGTAATTTCCAGTCATATGCAATCCAACTAAAGAATCCGAGTGTCGTATTAGGATACCAAGTATCTCACTGACTAACAAAACGAGGTAGGAATACATAGAATCTCCGTGGCGACACCCTCGTCCTATTTCAAATTTGTCTGTACAGCGTCCGTAAACTAATACACAAGAAGATGCACTTGCATAAAACAAGTTGATCCATTTCTTCACAGATGGACCGAAGCGAAAGAAATCCAGGACATTGAACAGAAAATTATGTGATACGTACGGAATCGAAAGCTATGTCAAAATCAACAAGAAGAAGCTTGATGCCAGCTATATCATGTAATTCAGAATAAAGTAGCGTATATCATATTTATAATAAACGTGTGTGTTCCCCAATAAAGTGACCGCTAAAAAAAATCCTGTTTGATTTTCATGTATGAAAAAAGATGCCCTCGAGTCTGTTTGCGATACAACTGAATGCTAATTATGTAGACGACATTCAGTAAGGAGATCGGTCGCCAATTTTTTAACAAATGTATAGGTTTGTTTCCTTTCGGAATCGAACTTATTATTCCATTTTTGTGTGAGTTAGAATATTGCTCTGTGAAATACGCATAATATTCAATGATCTTACTAGAAAATATTTAATATCTTCCCAAAAATAATGGTAAAATCTACAATAAAACCATCCTGTCCGGGAGATTTATTGTTTTCATGATTTTTCATGATGTCTGTCTAAAATATTACCATTTTCAGTGGATGACTGACGCATTTCTTTATTTGCATTATTTTTTTTCTTCCAAATTCAAAAAGAATTTAGGTTTTTCTCCAAACTCCATCCATCTAACCCGAGATCTAATTGCAATTCCTTCATTAGTTTTAAAAAGGGATGCTTCTAGTTCTAATTTTAAAATTTAAATTTCTTCTAATAGAAGCCTTATCATCAGATATTATCAATTTTCTTTCTAATTTTTCAATTTTCGCTTTAGATCCTTTCCCCTGTTCACATTTTGTTTTTTGGGCGAAGGAGGCATAATGTTATTGCTTCGCCTCGTATAATCATCATTAAAGTTTTAAAACATAACTGATCATTTAGGCTAAATTCACACTCACCTACAATGCAGCCATTTTGATCGAACTTTGCTTTGTCTTTAGTACAGAAGAGAATAGTATCTTTCATCGTTTTTTTTTATCTGCGAAACCAATTCTTCGTATTTTAGCAAAGAATTATTAAATTTCCGAAAAAACCAGGACCTCGTTTTATCTGATTCAAACTGAGACTTATACAAATTAAGGAGTGATCTGTTCGGTAATTTAAAAGAATATCGACATTGTGCACTAATGAAAGAAGTTCTGAAGAAATCGGAAAGAAGTCTAATCTAATCTAATTTAAAAGGGTAGGTTGCCGCCACGTATAATATCTTTTATCTGGAAATCTAATTCTCCAAG